AAAAACCACCCTGGGACTTCTTAATGAAGGCTATTCCATGAATAGAGGATGTTCTTGCCAAAGCTCTGCACCAGATAACTGAGCAATCTTCGTTTCCTTTTTCCTCTGAAGTGGGACTCCCACACGCCACCACTGTAAACATAAAGCTTGCCTCCATAAACATGATTTTTGATGTTTAGCACAACACATACTCTAGCGCACTTAAAGTGCAGCAAGCTTCTCACATTCTGAGTAACAGCCCTAAAAATAGCTGTTTATGGACAATACCAGATGGATATTAGGAATTAGCACAGTCACTGGGCAACGATTATACTTCTTTGTAAAGAAGCTCAGCTTTCTACCATCCAATAGGGTTGGTGCCATTTAATTTGCTGCCCTAAGCCATAATATCTGCTTTTTCATAAATCAGAAGATGGATTAGTTAAAATCAATTTATTACAGAACACAAGAAAATATCAGCCAAAATAAACCAAACTTCTGTAAGTATTTGTCCAATGTTACTTTCTACAAATATTCCTGGAGCATCCAAAACCTGTTCTGTTTGTAAAGATCTCTGTGTAAAACACATCCGAAAGCAGCCCTGCATTCAGCACCTATGTATAGAGCAGCACACACATCTGTCCATATGCACAGCTGACTTTGTGTGACTGTGTAGCAGCACCATGACATCATTAGCCTTGTCTGCAGTAATTGACAGGGCGAGCATTCTGTTTTGTTATTTTTATGACTACCATAATCAGTGATTTCCTGTGGATTTCATCAACGTTTCTTTTTTTTCTGAGTCCACATCATTCCCTCAGATGGTTAGCTTGTTTTCACAGCTCAGCTTTCCCTGCTGAAGCCAGCTGCCCTTTAGAAATCACTCTCTCTCGCATCTACAAGATAGCAGGAAACAAGGGTAACTTTTATTGTATTTATTTGCTTTTATAAACAAAAACTGTTTTTCATTCTGTATGGACCACAAGGTCTACATAGACAAACTGCATTTGGAACAACTGTTTTATAACTCTAAAAATGCATTATGTTTTTCCAGTTAGAAAATAATACCACTAGCATTTGGATAATTGGTATCTGAAAATGGATACATAATATATTCATTTCTATTCACCTATCTGATGTTTTATTTTCATGTCATCTAACTGGGTTAAAAAAAAAAGCAATGTCTTGGAAGACTTGAGTGGTGCATTTGTCTGTGAAATTCCATAAGCACATGCTGCCATTATTTTTACACTGCTTTTGACACTGATGCTGCATAGCAAATGCACCCATTCAGGATTTGCAAGATCTGCAATAAATGCTTGCAAAAAGAGAAAAGAGGAAGTAGTATCTCTGTGGACAAAATATAAAAATGCTTTTCTTTTTCTTTTTTTTTTTTTTCAGGTCATTGTCTCATTTCTTCCCCTTCCCCCAAAAGAGTAGGAGTTCAGGTTTGGTTTGGATAAAATCCTGAAATGTGGATATGTCTCTGAATTACCTCATCGTCTTGGTTTGAGCCCTTAGTTGAACTTTGTCCCAAAATCCAACTCCAACTAACCAGTGAAAAGTTTAGTATAGACTTAAAAAAGCATGGGATCAAAATTTACCTTGGTATAAACATATATTTTGAAAACAAAATACATACTTATATTATAAATTATATGTAATTGGCTTTTTGGAATTCACTTACCCCCACCAGCTTAAGGAATGATCTCACAGATCCTTGCATCTGCCAGATGAGTAGCTTCATTCATATCATATATATATAATTCTACCGTACCAACTGTGAAATAAAGTTATTTGCCTAAATAAATGTTTACATTTAACCCGCACATTTCACTAATTAAAACTTCATCTGTGAAAACATCAGCCCATAGAAACAGAATCTCTTAAACCTGAGTCACCAAGTGCAGTGCTTCCACAGCCTGATAAAGTCTGTTCCAAACCCTATAGAGATCGGTGGTGGAGGAGTTAACCAGGATGAACAGCAGCTCAAACCCACAGGTTGCAGGTGAGCACTGGGCACCTGCAGGCCCCTGTGCTTCTCTGTGAACATCAGCCCCACCACACTTTCCCTCTGGGCTGTAAGAGCTGCCTATGGACTTCTGAGCCTGCAGTAGCTCAGGCTGCCAAACACTGGAAATCTCAGCCTGTATATTCTAACTGCTGGATTACCACTGTTGGCAAATCAGCCATAGCTCAGGCACAAAATCACAGGATCATAGAATGGTTTGGGTTGGAAAGGACCTTAAAGATCGACTAGTTCCAACCTCTCTGCCATGGGCAGGGACGCCTCCCACTAGACCAGGCTGCTCAGAGCTCCATCCAACCTGGCCTCAAAATTACCTTGTATTAGGTGGATTCAAGACAAACAAACAACCAAACCACCTAAACAAACCACACTCACTCTGCTCTCCCTGCCATGGGTCTGCCAGTTGAAAAAGCTGAGCATCACAACCGCATTTGCAATGGTGGAAGGTGCAAGAGTTCCCCTTCTGGAGAAAACTGGTGAGCATTAAATCTGCGGCATTTGGCAGCACATTTCTCTAGAGTTAATAGCCAAGGTAATGACGGAGCACATGGCCTCAGCTTCCAAGAGGTGGTTTGGCCTCTGATATGTTGGAGAGTCAGCAGAAGGAAAAGCTTTTGACAGCACTGCCTCTACCGTCTGTCTGTCGGGACTTCAGTAGATGGCACTGTCCCACCAACTGCGGCACAGGAAGAGACAGTGTACACATTATTCTGTCACAGATTGTGTATGCTTTTCTTCAAATAAACTCTCTTCCTTTTTTTCCCCCTCTAGATATCTGATTACCTTTATTTGATTTTCCGGGGTAATAAACCAACTATTTTAAGTGTATAAAATGGAACAGATGACCACTTAGCAATCTGTTGACACCTTTTCAATAAGGTGGTATGGAATAGGACTAAACAACATTTTTCCCTTATAAATCCCTGGAAAAAAAACAAAATGTCCATCAACTTTGATTTTTTTAAACTTTGTGTATTATTTTTTAAATAGTTACATAATTCTATTTCCAGCTGTGAATCGTTCCAATTTCTGTTACATTTTAATGGATTTTTTTTCCCTCAGTCTTCTTTATACCATTAGGCAAAGAACTTTCTGGGGTAGTTATGGGGAGGAGGGAGGCAACATCTCCACTCCAAATTTTAAAAGTAACACCTTTAAAAAAATCCCAATCAATCTCCCTATGCATCTGGCCCAGCACTTACACTTTTATATGTGTTTCCCATGTAGGTGATATTAACACTACCTAAATCTGACTTTACACTTGCCAAGTTTGTAATCCATCAAAGAACTGTAGCCCTCGGTGCAACCACAATCCCTTCAGGAAAAACAGTGTTAGCTAAGTCCTGACTCAAGCTTATATTCTTGTCAGAATTCTGCTATTGCTATTGTATTTATTTTTTTTTTTCTGCTAAATGATAACTCTGGCAAATCAGCCAAAAGTTTTGCCCAGCATCTGGATTGTACAGTCAACCACAGGAAGTCTCATGGAGGGGCAACAGATTTTTGTTCTTCATGTAGTCCTGTTGGGATCACTGTCATCTTGGTAGTTGGATTTAGACTAATTTCCTGTGACTTGATCTCTGCTGACATGCCAGAGCTTTTGCAAAAAATCTGTAAACTGTGCTGATTTTTCTTGGTAATCAAATGACTGCCCATTTCTCCCTATTGACCAGTGACTTGGCTTTGCATTTAGAACAATTTCCTAATGAAGCAATGAGTGGATTTTTGTGACTGAAAAGAAAGAAAAAGGCACCGATTTAAATTAACTCTTCGTTTTCCCATATATGAAAAATTTGGATACAGCAACATTCTGAGTATCAGCCAGAAGGATGCTGATCCTGTAGTAAAGCTATCACCACCAGAGATGTTATCTGTATGCTGGGCAGCAGATCCTTCAGCTTTTCTAGGAAATCTGTGAAAACTGGGTCAACAATCTGCAAATCACAAATTGGCCTATTTCTCTAATATTACCCTTGTAGACACTCTGAATACTTGCAAAGCTGTAGTTTCCAGGATTTAACTTTCCAGTATTAGGCTGGAGAGCAGCAATATGATTACTCCTGCTCCCTCCCTCTTTCCTTTCTTTCATCTTTTTTTTTCTCTTGTTTTGGCATTGAGCCTGAGCTTTAAGAAACATGTAAAAACTGGAGACTTTAAAAGGAGTATCTTTGATGCAGAATAGTGAGATGTTTTCTGCGACATCGTAGAGCAAGAACGGTGATGTCAAATGACGTAAAGAAGGGATCACGAGCTCAGAAACTTGTATCTTTGGTTTAATAATTTTAATTGGTCTACTGCAAAATACCACCTCACCACAGATTTTGCTTCATTGGTAGTTGATAGTATAATTACAGAATTTAAAATGCCTGAAGAATGGATTTTTATTCTAGCAAGTATTGTTGGTTTAGGCCTAAAAAGGATATTAAGAAGAGCTTATAAACTAATAAATTAAACCCCTTTGCAGTTCTGTAGGTCTTTGCCCTGTCAGACCCTTCACGAATATCCGTTCCGAGCTGGCCATCAGCCATGAGCGCTGATCCCGGCCCGTTCCCAGCAGGAGCCCGAGCAGCGCAGCAGAGCCCTCCCTCATTCCAGCGCCCGCAGCTCCCACCGCTGCCCGAACGCGCTGAGATCACGCGGGGCCCCCGACCCCCAGCCCATCCCAGAGCCGCCCCTCGGAACACAAAACCAGCTTTCAGGGGAAAGCCGCAGGCTCCGGCTTTTCCCACAGCGGGAATCATGAGTCCCTGCGCGCCGCCCCTCAGAGCGCGGCGGGAGGAGGGGAGCGGGCCCGCGGCACTGCTGACGTGCTGCCGGGGACGGGGCTCATTTCGGAGGGCACACGGGCTGGGAGAGGCTGGCAGGGCTGCGGCTCCATCAGACAGCGCGCTCCTGCAGCAGCAGCTCTCCGTCCCTCCCTCCGTCCCTCCTCCGCCTCCACCTCCGCCGGCACAGCGCCGGCTCTACCCTTTCCACCCCCGGCACTCGGAGAGGAAGGGATGGCGGGGGTCTCGGGGGGCGCTCCCCGGCTGCCCGGGGCGCTGTGCCTCGCCGCCTGCCTGCACCTGGTGCTCGGGAGGGACGCCGGAGCACAGTGGACCCTGGAGAAGGTGGGTCGCGTTTGCGTTTCCCGGGCGCTTCTTGCCTCGCTTGGTGGAGGTGGGGAGCACCTTCCCGGCGGGCAGGGCTCAGCGGCTGGGCGGGGGTACAGCCTCATGCCCTCCTGCCCTAGGCGCCAGCGTGAATTCGGGTTGGGGGTCGCCCTTGGCGCGGGAGCCAAGGGGCCGGCCCGCAGGTGAGGGTGGGTGACACGGCTTTCCTCGTACCCCGGGCTTGGTGACTGCAGAGAACAAGCCGCCTTCACACGTTTGACGTCTCGGTGAGACCGGGCAGCGAGAGCGATGTGCTTTGTCAGAGGCAGTTTGTGACATTAAGGGAAGCCCAAAGAGGACAAGACGGATCAAAATCTGGAATCATGTTCCATGTAACATTCTATTGTACTCCAATATTCATTGTGATTATAGTAAGTCAGAGGATAGATAGTGTCTTAGTTTAAGAATAGCTCCTCCAGCAGTGATGCACATGTATCTAGGAAAAACAAGGAGGAATGGTACCGAGATCCACTACAAAATTGTTTTGAAAGGATATAATACTCTAATATGTTGCAGACCCATATTATATTGTTTCTAATTCATGGTATGTGAACCAGTGAAAAAAGCACTCTCAAGGTTTAATTAAACAGTAGTAAGCCTTAAACCACAGATTTCTCTGTGTAACAACTCAATGGTCCATTATGAAACACTAACATAGTTTCTTTGTGAAGAACTAAACCACATGAAACATAGGAGAGCATACAACCACAAATCACATTCGATTAAAAGTTTCAGGAATTTCCAAACAGAAAATCTTTGTCTAGGGCCCATCCCCAGGTGTTTGTAGAAGAGCTGAACTCAAAGTTCAGTCAGAAGCAACTGAACTCCACTAATCTAGTGCACCATTCTCTTCACCAATAGATCAGAGTCCAGGACAAACTGGCAAAATGAAGCTTCCCTCATACTTCCCCTTAGTCATTCCCTTTCTCCTTGATTTTATTCACTCCCCATTCAAGTTAGTGTTGGGTTGTTTGTTTATGAGATACTTTGTCATTCTGTTCTGTTAATTATATCTTATTATATATACATGTATAGCTCATGTATTGACTACATATCTGTAACATAATACATCTATATTATGCATAATACATGTATATGTACATATATATGTAAGAATATGTGAGGCTAATTCTTTAGTCATACTAGTCAATGAACATGATCGTAGCCCCAGTGCTCCTTTTCTCAGCCCCCTTGAGTCCCACCAATTCACTCTTTAGCTCATTCCACTCCCACTAGTCACTCTACTCCCCAGTGCTGTCAGCAGTACCATCTAACCGCAGAACCACTGCATCTGATCGCCTCTGCCTGTGCACACACTAAGCAAGAACCACTTCCTCTTTCTCATCAACTTGTTGTCCCTTGACAACTTTAGTTCTTCATCCCTGATGGAATGTGAGCCAGAAGTTCAAAATCCTACAGGTGAGCATGGGCTACTTGTAGAACTTGAAGTCTTGCAGTTTTATGCAGCTTAGTACAACAGGTTTAGTGACAACCCTGTCATAAATACATTGTTCTGCCTCCCTGTTGTGGCAACACTGTAAAGAATGAGTCACCTACAGATCTTATTTTGCTTATTTCATAACCACGTTTGCAATTACTTTCACTTCCCAAATTTGAAGCTATCTCCCTTATTAGAAATGGAATTTGATTCCTCCCTCCCGAAGTATTTTCATGCATTTGTACTTTAAAAATTTCTTTGCAAAGTGATTCAATTACCCCAATTACCAGGCGTGCTCTACAGTTGGAAGCAAGATGATTCCTCATTCCAATTGAACCCTTCACTTGTTCAGCTGTAGACATATTTTCTGAACTTCCTTAAATTGTCTTCCTACACTCTTCTGAAGCACACAGCTTTAGCTTTTCTCTCTCCCCTTATACCCTGCTCCTCCTAAACAGAACAACTCCCTGACAACATCTTCTCTTGTCTGTGCTTCTTCTACACTGGTCTAAATCCACTGTATTACTTCTAGTCTTTCAAGAGACAGTTTTACAACTTCCACAGTACAATTTCCGAACTTTTAAAAGTTCTTCTTTATATCAGACAAAATGCAATTTTTCTTTAACCCATGTCTAAATTTCCTAGCATTAAGAATATTAACTGCACATCCTAAAATTTGGTGTCCTTACAGTCTTAAAATTCAGCTTTAAATGCTGTATTAAAATTGGCACAGTAAGATTTGGTGTCTTTGCATCATCCCTCTGTTTAATTTCACTAAACTTAAATGGAATTAGAGGAAAGGTCTACATGTAGATAAACAACTAGGAAACGAGAGAAAGGCAGAATTAAATCTTTACAGTAAAGTCGAGAAAACACTTGTGCTTGTACCTGCTCTGCTCAGTACACACACAAATGAAGTAGAAAAGAAGTCAAATAGTGAGATAAACCCCATTTTTAACAATATTCATCATTCAGGGTAAAAAAATAACAAGTCATTATACCTGACTGTCAAGGTCAGTATACTTTCTTGCCAGGTCATGAGTTTTAGTTGGTATTTCAGACACGTGTGAAATGACGCATGAGTGAGTGGAAAAGGAGAGGGAATGATTATTTTTTGCTAACACATACAGTGATGGCATTAGACTACAGATATCTATGAAAATGCCAGTTTGATGCAGCAACACCCCAAAAGCAAGTCAGCTGTTAAGCAGTTTGAAGAAAGAAAAAGAGTAAAATAGAAAATACCATTATCCTACAGTTTAAACTATGGTGTGCTCATGTTCCAGTTTCTCTCCCCTTACTCATCTCAAAAAGGATGAGGTAGACAGGGTACACTGAAGGATAGCAAGTGTGATCAATCACTTAAGGCAGTTCTGATCAAAGAACAAATAAACAGAGCAGGATTTTTCATTAGGAGAAAGACAGGAGTAGAGGGAAGACCCTACGATATAAATAAGGATATGATAGTGCCTGAAATAGGAATCTATAAAAACAGGAGTGGTTCAGGAAGTTCCTGAGGAGACAACTGCTAGAGGTCAGATAGGTTCAAACCAGGTGTCCAAAGGGGCATTTGAGATATCCTTGGGGATCCCATCTGGCATTCACCTACCACTCCAGAACAGCACAGGCTGTTGACATGCAAGACGTGCACTTGGGAGCCCCATGAGGATGCCTCCAGCACTCCAGGTCACCTGAAATAGCCCTGAAGTTCTGTGCTTGGCCAACAGAAAGGCAGTCCTGTGGGAGGTAGCTAACATGCTAATGGTTGTCACAGGAGACAAGCCATCAGTTCTGAGGTTAACCCATGTGTCACCAAGCTGACATACAGCCCCAAATGTGCCACGCCTTGCTGTGTAGTCACACTCATACCACTGCTGTGGGCAGAGGCCACAATGACACAGCTTCACTCTCTCTGAGAATGAGCTACCTTATGCATTTCTTTGCAGCACTGCACCTCATAACATAGACACAGCATAAAGCTAAACATTATTACCACTAGAAACAAAGCTTCTGGTGTTTGTCTCAGTAGAAACTTCAGCTGAAGGTGGCATGGTTGCAGACATGACTGTATGTATGTAGAATTAAGATATTAGGAAACAGAGAACCCATTCATGGGTTGAGGTTTTACAGCTAGCTAGTATGTAGAACTCACATATTTTTAATATTAGTATATTTTGCCTGGAAATAAAAGATACAGAGCAAATGATTTCAGAGTGATAACTTTTTAAAATTACTTTTTGTTGTGAGTAAATCAAACTAGCACAATATATCATATTTACTGTAATTTTGAAGAAAACTATGACTAAAAAGGTCTAGTAATAGTTATAGCAGTCTTCCTTTTCTCTGCCTTCTACAGTATTCTCACCAACCAAGAATTTTAGGTTCTGATGCTATTCAAAAAGTTGTGGCAAACACAGATATTTCTGAAATGTGGCAGAACGATTTGCGCCCTATCCTGATAGAAAGATACCCAGGATCACCGGGAAATTATTTCGTACGACAGGTAAGACAACACTTCCTGAAAACCTCTAAGAACATCTAGTATTTATATTCTGGTAATGCCTTTGGTGACCACTAAAGGGACAGTCACATTCCTTTCATTCAGTAGGATGAACTCTATCATTGTTCAAGTCTAGACTGCATAGAGCCTACATGACACAGCTTGCACTTTAGCTGACATTATTTCCCAGGGCTGCATAGCATGACGAAAAATTTTACTTTTTTTTTAATTAAAAAGTTTGCCTCAGGTTTGGTATCCAAAGTACAACACAACCATTGCCCTTTCCCTCACATGAGCAAGTTTTTGGTCACTGGTTTAAATCCTCTGAGACCATGCATGAGGATAAAATACATACATACACACACCTTTTTCCAGAGGGGTCCTGTGCTGTTACAGTCCTCTGAAGTGTTCCTTCAGATGGATGTATCAACAAAAAAAGGGATCAGAGGGGCCCAAACGGGCAGGCAGATGAAATGGCCAGCACAACAAAGTGCAGCATTGGTCCACATACCATGCTCACTCCACTGGCCCAAGCACAGCAGTGTGCTAATCCTGGGCTAATATGCCCAGATTGCAGCTGACCCCAAGCCAGTAAAGGCTCCAGCACACTGTCTTTGAGCCACAAGGAGTTGCCACACAATTGGGTTGCTGCCCGGTCAGCACCTCTGCTCTGTGCTCACAGCATGGGCATCTTCAGGACAGTGTGCCATGCTGGCTCTGGATTGCATTAACCAAGCAGGAGACAAACAATGGTACAGCTGAGTTTGCTAGAAGGCATTCACAACATCTCACTAGCCTTCATCCACCCTTTACGCAGTGACTCAACAGCTCTAAGACAGCTCTAACTACCATAAATTTATTTGCCACTCTGCAATTGGTAGACTGCAAAAATGCAGCCTTTTTATGTTTTGTGTGTGTGTGTGAGGGCACATATCTCTATAGATTTAGTTTCGTGGTTTCTTTAGTGATACTCTGGAAGGCAGCCAAATCAAAAGGGGAAAAGGAAGAAAAACAAAAAAATAGCTGAGCCTGGGCTAGAAAACCACGAATCACATTCAAAATAGAATCATCCTGTTAGAAGGTAACAGCATGTATTAAATTTGACCCCCATCAAAGGAAAAAAAGAAGAGTCTCCCATTGTCGAAGCACAATGGAGTTTGAAATGGATGACACTTCTTTGTTGAGACACAGAAAAAGCATCAGACTCCTTTAGGGGAAAAGGCTAGTGCCAACCATGGCTGCTGCACACTGGAAACTCCATCCACGCTTATATATTCCCGTTAATCCATAACAGACATCCTTTGCTCTGCCTACTGATAGCTGATAGACCATACAATGCCATAAAAGCTTTCAGTGGGTGACCACAAACAAAATGGAAGTTTGTTCTAGCACTAAAATACACAGCAATATTCCCACTGAGTTCACTAAGAGCAGAACAAGTCTTCAAAGTTTATTTTCCCCTTAGAGGCTTTTCCTAATGTTTACTTAAAGAAAGAGGAATCTGCCTTGAAGAAGCACTCTAGGGACCCATAAAAATAAGTTGCTCAACAGAGAAACAGAGATGTCCCTCTTAATAAGAGTTAGCCAGAACTCTGCATGAAGTACAACTGGGGTTGTTAGAGGTATTGTCTTTAGTAGGAAGATAACTAAAATAAATTATCTCTTTTACAGATTTACTGTCTTAATTCTTATCTTTACATGAGCTACACTTAGAGAATTTGATTTTTAAAATGTTGTTCTGAAACGTTTAATTCTTTCTTTAATTTAAAGGAATCATCTCTTATAGCCTTTTAAACAACTTAGGTCACTTGAAAGGCAGATTGCTCATAGAAGCTAAAAAACCCCCACCACCTCACAGCAACCAACCAAACCAAAGAGCATTTTGTTATTATTATGCCGTGGCATCTCTGTGTGGTAATTGTCAAAATAGCCACACCAAGGTCTCTGCAGCCAATTCTGAGTTTTAAGGGCACAAATGAGTTTAGATTTGAAGAGGTAAACATTAAATCTGCTCTAGTTACGCATGAAAAAAACACTGGCCTGGAAACTTCAGAGATCAAGATCTTAATGTGTCATATTAATGGGCCATAATTCAAAACACCTTCAGGCTCCGAAGACAGGAGTCAAAAGAGAGAGATGAAAAGCAAATGAGCTAGTCAAAGGCTAAGGTAGCAAAGCTGTCACTTATTTTATATAGTGACATTACATTTTTTGCTATAAAATTTATCCTTTAAAAATATAATGAACTTACAGAAATAAGCTTAAGGGTCACTATCAATTAGGTAATGACAATTTGTCTGCAACATCTTTCTGAAGCAAGCAATATTGATCTGATTATTTTTTATAATTGCAGCATATCAAGCACCGTCTTCAAAGATTAAAGGCTGGTTGGGAAATTGAAGAAGATACATTTCAGAGATACACACCATATGGATATCAAACATTTTCAAATATTATCAGCACTCTTGACCCCTCTGCAAAACGCCATCTAGTACTTGCTTGCCACTACGACTCAAAATTCTTTGGACAACAATGGCAGGAGAGAGTGTTTGTAGGAGCAACTGATTCAGCCGTGCCCTGTGCTATGATATTGGAGTTGGCACGTGCTCTGGATAACAAGCTTCAGTTAATCAAGGTAGTGTACTTGTTTCTTCTGCATTTGCTTTTGCAACAGCAGTAGGACTTAGGGCACTTCCACATTCTTTCCGCGGCCTGCATGCCTGCTTCTCCAATTGTTGTGCCTGTGATAAAACTCCCATTGACTTCAAGAAGAACAGAGATCTGTACATATAATAAACATATACTATATAAAAATAACAGATTTTACATCAATAATACATGCTTCATAGACTTACTACTTTCAAGCTAAAACGCACAGAACCCTACTCAGAAGTTCCTGTTGTATCCAGTAACATCTAGGGTCACTGACAAAGTTTTGTTGCATTCCAAATCTTGCATTTTTAAAATTTCTCAGTTGTATTCTGCTTTGGGACACAGATGAACTAATTGCTGTGCATGAGAGTGACACTTATGTCCCTCCATCCCATAAGGATTTTAAGCTTTTCTTCCTGTATCACAATTTGAATAGTTTATTTATGAAACAAGTATAATGTTATCAGTCTGTTGTTACCTATGCTATGAAAATCTGCTTCAGAGTGCTGCAATTGCTAGGCATAAAAATCTGTTGAGCCCACAAACTCTAAAAGCTTGTAGGATTACAAATCTGTAGGATTACAGATTCAGGAGTGCCACCTACTGGTTCAGTATTCACTATTTACAAAAAATAATTTTCATACACTTACAGATTTTTCACAGGAAAAGGTCTCTCACATGTGAGGAACACTTTACAGAGTGTCAGGAATACACTCAGCTCAGGTATTACAATTACTTGTCAACGATAGTTTCCAGAAACTGATTTGATGCCTTCTGACATGCAAATATGTAAGAATGAGAAGATTAGGAATATGCCAATATTTTTAATCACAAAACAAAACACTCCTGTAATACATATGCTTTCATTTGGAAGCTTCATTTAGAATAAATTTGCCTGATGCTTATTTATAGAACAACTTGCACACTGACTTTCAAGACTGGCATTTTTCACTAGTAATGCATCACGTTACAATGAAAATTGTTTTATGTATTTAATGTAAGATGACAGCATTTGACAAAAGGGCAATTAATTACTTTGCACAGGCTACCATTTGTACAGTCTGTTAAAAATATACTTTAGGATCCATCTGCTTAATACATTAGCTATGACCTTTTTGCTCTACTCATGGTAGCACAACAGACTTTGTTACGTTTTCATCTACATCTATTTATACTTTGATTTGAAGCTGTGATTTTTAGTTTGATGTTTCTCCAGTTATATACAGTAAGTTTAATATTAATAGGCAAAGACATCTCTCTATTATTAAAATGTGTTAAACAGCAATACTAACACAAATACTGCTTTCTAAAACTCAAATGGCATCGATAAAGTTTCCTCCAGAACGTAATGCAAAATGACTGCTGTCGAAAGACCTCTGTCCTGTGCAAAGGACAAAGGGCAGCAAACCACTGCCAGTAATCAATATATCACTGTAAGCATAATCAATATAATCTTGCCTGTGTGAGCGACATTTTAGAGGAGTTTTCCACTACTGTTTATATTGGATCAGCTCCAGCCAGTTGGGAGTTGTAGCCCATACAGGACATGACTGCTGCCAGTGACTCCACCTTTTTAACCACATCATGCAATTTCACTTGAAGTAGTGTTAATTCAGAGGGGTTAAAATATTTATAGCAACTGCGAAGACTACAGTTCCCAAAACTGTTCATTTAGTGGAACCTGACTGGGTTTAGCCATGTTGTAGATTAGTAGGAAATGCTTACAGTTCAAACAAGGCTTCATATAGCAGACAGAGAGAGAAGGGGACATGGGAAAGAAATTTCACAGAGATATCTCTTTTGTGACCTTATCATATATATCCTCAGTTTTTAGTGCTGTGATATTTTCAGTTGTTGAAATAGAAGGGCATATCTACTCCACTCTCTCTGCTTTGGTTTTAGGGTAAAGTTGCCTCAGTGATTACAAGTTCCCCTGAAAAAAAAGAAATAGTCATTCTTTTCATGAATGAAAAATGGCTCTTTGTCCCTCAAAGAACCACCAACTCCACAAATACATAATTCTCCTCCACTGATGCACAGCTGTAGCAATTATATTAATCCTTGTGGCACAATCAAGTAATAATATCAGCACTGCATCCGGTGTTGTTACTGACATGTCTCCTCCTTATTTGAGATACTGTTTCTGCGACCTAGTTTTGCAGACCTGTCTCAACACTTGGCTCCTGTCTGCTAAAGTCAGAAATGAAATTTTTAACCAGAACCAAAATGATACGAGACTGCAGAATCTGTCACCATGCTACATAAATCGCTACCATTATTACACCATAATGTGTTTAACAGCCAAAGGAAGGTTTGCATCAGGGACCTTGAAAATATACCCTTACTGTTGCTTATGTTGCTTATGTTGCTTATATGGCTACAGTGTTTGTCCTTTATTTAATGTTCTGGCCAATTATTTTACTTCTAACTTCCTCCAACAGACCAGCTCAACTTCAAGACCAGACCTTTCACTTCAGCTCATTTTTTTTGATGGTGAAGAAGCCTTTGTCCGGTGGTCCCCTTCCGATTCCCTCTATGGATCTAAACACTTAGCTCAAAAAATGGTATCTACTCCACATCCACCTGGTTCAACTACAAACCAGCTGCAGGGCATAGTAAGTGGCTTTCACATCCTTAATGAATAATAGTAAATTGCATTTTTTAAAATATTTAATTTGTAGGTAATTGGCCAAATTCCCAAGAAACCATGAACCCACCAAAGTTAAAGGAAGAAGCAGGCTTATGAGAGATGATAAAATACAGAGTTGGCAAGAGCTGTTCAGATGAATCTGCTTAGACCTGCCCATGAAAGTATAAGGAGCAGTCATAGAAAAATCAAAATACACAAATGTGTTAGAATGTAAACTAGGATACCCACCTTCTTCAGGAAAGATTATTCAAAGTGATAAGGAAAGAGCACATAGTATTGGCCTATGAACAAATCTCCCCTAGCTCAGTACTAAGTTACAGCAATCTCTGGTTCTCTTTGATTCCTACTAACGTTCTGGTTGTCTGTTCCCTTCTACATTCCCTACTCACTGCTGAGGCACTTCTGTCACTGCTTCTTGTGACTCATAAAATGGCTTTCCCTTGACAGACTTTGTTGTTCTCAGGGGAAGAAGCAATTTCCTCTTCTTTCTCCCCACCTACCATAGTTTTTCTTTTAAAGGGATATAACACACAAACTGCAAACAAAGCAAGGCAGCCTGCTTCAGCTGGAGGAACAGAGAAATAGCCTACTTTTTCCCTCCTTAGAAAGACAGCAAAATGTGCCAGTTTGGAATAATGTTCTGCTAATAAATTCTTCTCAGGCACCATGGTAGAAAAGCCAGACGTTTAGCCAGAGCTAGCAAAGACCTGGTCATGACCTATACAGGAACCAAGAAGCTCATTGCTGTTGGTGGTGTTGTAGTAAAGAGTTCTATATTAAAGATTCTTTCTTCTGTAGGACCTGCTTGTACTACTGGATTTAATTGGTGCACCAAACCCAGTCTTTCCAAATTATTTTCCAAATACTACTCGATGGTTTCAGAGGCTTCAAGCAATTGGTAAGCAGAGGGATATGGGCTTTGGATGAATTTCAAAATGTAGTGGGTAGTTTCTAAGTGTATTAAGTCCTGGAAATCAGATTTTTAGATAAATTTTCTGGTTTACAGTAATAATATTTACCAATGTAAACATTAAATTTCCTTTATCTTAAACCTATATGAAGATTTTGATATTTAATTAAATTAATAAAACAACCGAGGAAGACTCGCAGACACTTGGAAGCCACAAAACAGAGTCCATTACTGATTGTCACTCTGTGACTCTTGGGAACTGCTTCACTTCTGTGTTTTAGTATTCACTTCTGTAAAATGATGGTAATAGCACCAGTCTTGAGGTCTTCTAAGTACTAAACAAACGCAAAAGACAGTCACCAACTCCTTTTTCTTCTTTGATGGAAAAAGCTTCATTGTGACAGGAAAAACAATTCAAATGTGCTAACATGCCTCACTGTCCTTATGCTTTACAGAGCAAAAGCTACACAACATGAATCTGTTGAAGAATCACCTTGTTGAAGGACAGTATTTCCACAGTACTTTACATCGAGGCTTGGTTGAAGATGACCACATCCCATTTTTATTAAGAGGTACCAGAAGTTCTTGTCTTTTAAAGTATACGTTCAGCAAGAAACGCATCAATTTACTGAATGAGCAAGTGCATATGATCCTGTTTTTCAAGCTTATTTGCCCCAACTTGAGGCTTCTGAATCCAACTTTACAACTTTAAAAACCCAAAAAAAAGCAGCAATAAACAAACACACCCATCATAACTTTGCGGGAACACAGCTTCAATGGTATGGAGAGAATGGAAATTTCTGTCAGCAGTAGTGTCCTACAAAGATAAGTGACCCTGATCCAGCGGGATATCACTACATACCACACTAGTCAGCTAGTTACTATTCTAGGAGCACTGAAACACTTAAGGTTATGTCTCTAAAAACTACAAAAATTTTTAAAGATCTGTTGTCAAAGTTACAATAACGTCACTACTTGTTTAAAGACAGTGTTTAAAGTTAAAGACTTAAGACTCCTGCAAAACTCCACATTTTCAAATTAGATATCCTCGTTCCCTAAAAAGAATGGAGATTTCATAGCTGTCACCTTGAGGATGGGAAAAGTGCAGACAGTAGTCCACAGAAATACCAAAGGACACACTATGCCTGAAATCCCTTCTGGAATTAGGCAGATACCTGAAACTGTAATCCCCAATCTAAGCATCATCTTCTGGCAGACACCTGGGTCATAGCCTCTGGCTCTGTGTTCATTCTTTTCCTTTGGGATTTGATCAAAGAAAGGGAAAGCAGTTGTCATAGTGCTTCTCACTTGTCAAGCTACAGGTCAATAATTAAAGCACTTGTCCAAGTTTGAAATGTGTATTTCATGTCCTTCTTAGTTTAAGCACTCAGCAAAGCATCTTCAAAACGAAGGTGGGGCAAATAAGGGTAGTAGATTAGTGAAACTCTTCTGATTGAAGCTTTCTACTGTACAGCAAGGACTGCAAGAGTCATATTGCTAGAGAAGGGTTGACTAGAAAGGAATATGACACAAGTTCAGTGAAGAGGGTGTCTCCCTAGGAAAGGAGGGAGGTATCTTCATATCCAGCCCCTAATTTTACCATTGCTTATGCTCTGTTAACTACTGAATAACATAAAATGTGCACACAGCTCTGGAAGCAGGCACAAGGGCAGCCACACCTCTCCACTTCTAAGTGAGTGCTCTCTTCACTGAGTTGTGCTTACTGTCTGCTGCTCAATGGCTCTCCAACTCCACAAATCTTTCATTTTTCACATCAAGACAGGGTCCAGGTCCAACAAATCCAACACAGTCGGCCTATGTGTGTCCAGGGATATAAAAAATCCTACATGGGAGAAGCTGATAGGGGAAGACAATGACTACACCTTATCTTTTCTAGTAACACAACACCCAGTGAGGAAAATGGATTCCTTAAGGGTACACAGTCAAAAAATTAGAGGAAAAGCAGTAAAATAGGAAAAAGGCTGGAGAAAAAAAGTGTTCCTCTCCCAAAAGTGATCAGGAAGCAGAAGTCTGATTTAATTCCTCTTTTATCTAAAAGCTGCAGTATGTATAGGTGGCTTGATGCATATATATATATATGTAATATATATATAATGTATACAGTGGTATAATCCTTTCAAGTGGAAGTTCCTTATCTGAAGATAACAGTGGTTCTATTTTACAGAGCAAAAATAAGAGACCCTACTTTACCATTTATGGAGAGAACTAAAAAAAATGCTTCTAAAATGCTCAATCATTTGTCATGGTAATCAGTTTTCAGTTTGAGGAGCTGCAGTCGTTTCTCTGCCCTTCTGTGGCTCCTAAACGTTCTACAATGAAAGGAATCTCAAACAAAAACCCCAACAAAGTAACTACAGGTGCCTTAAAAATAAAAGGAGGCAAAAGCACTCAAAGGAAAGGAAGGTGACAGTTTTAGGGAACACACAATTTAATGACAGGATGCAGTCACCAAGCTTCAAAATAAGACAAGATAAAAGGAAGCTGCAGTGACACACCCTATAAAGCAAGTTTATTAAGTAGTTACCTGACTCTATTGCTAAATGGCGACATATCAGTTGGCTTAACAGAACTTCTCCAACATTTCTTCTCCAAATTTCACTTTTCTTTTTATAGGAGTTCCAGTCCTACATCTGATTCCATCCCCTTTTCCTGCAGTATGGCATACCATGGAGGACACAGAAGAAAACCTCGACAAAACCACTATCGACAATCTCAACAAAATCCTACAAGTGTTTGTACTGGAATATCTCAACCTGTGATAGACAAAACATCAACAAATTGTACTCCATTTTAAATACTGTTTGCCCACCTTCACATTTGCTATTTAATTGAACTGGAGAGCAGTAAAGCAAAGCAAAATAAGATAGCTCTTGCTAGACTGATTATTGATTCAGCTGTTCCTGGCCCAATGTTCCATGTAGCCAAATAAGAGAGCATTAAATAAGAACTAGTTCAGCCTGGAAAGAATTTGATCTTTCCATGTCTTCCCTCTGAATAAAAAATAACCCAGAATTTCTTCCAGATTGTTATCACCGTTTTTTGTCACATATTATGATCCCAGGAAGGGATGCCTGCCAACTTAAGTGTTGGATACAGTTTTTACAAGGCATGACCAACTTTTGCCATGTTCAGCAATGGAAATGTATGCCACATTATCAAAAGATGCTCTAAAACAGACTTCTATTTTGGGTTGAACTAAATCACCTCATCCTGAAATGGGATGTGATTTTTAAGTCTCTCTGCTCCCTCTCCTCCTTCCCCTACGAAGAGGGCTACAAGGGCTCTCCAGACAGCAGGCCACCAGTAAACAGAGCAATACCCAAATTGTTTGTTGGATACTTTTTGAGGGAGAATGGTGGTGAGGAGTGATGGTAACAGGAAGGTATGGGGGGGGTTCCACTGTGCTTTGACTGCAACACAGGAGATATAGAGATCAGGTGGTGTATGGGAACAATGCCTCAGCACACACCATTCAATCACATGAGAATCATTCATAATTTGACCCAAAAAAACCCCAAAACCCCACCCACCTGCCATTTTTAATACAAAGCACAACAGAAATAATCATACTAGGCAAATGATCACTTTAGAAACAATCATTTTATCTAAATACCATTTTAAAGGCAAAGTGCTATCAAAAATAAAATTACTTAGAAGCAAAACGGTAGTTTAGGCACCAAAAAGATACTCACCAATTTAGCAACCCTGTGTTTTTACATTCCTTAGTGGAATTATTCAATAAATTTAGTGTAACACTAGCAAAAAGAAAGCCTGTAATGAAACCAATGGAAGCCAGAAGAACAGTATTCAGAAGCTACTCACAGAATTATGGTTTCCACTGGTGAGAAAAAGATAAGAGCATTTGAAGAAAAAAATAAAAATATGAAGCTGGTGGAAGATGAACTGAGAGAAAACAAGTCAATATTTTACTCCTCTGAACTTCTTCCCTTAGGAAGTTCTATCCTGAGCAAAGAGACTTAAAAAGGAGATAAGCCATGGGGACTTATGTCAGGATGTCAGATTTGGCCTGTATTTTACCATTTTCCTAAAGCAAATGTTTCTGAGCCTAAGACAATATTTAAATCCATATTTTAAAGTTGTAACAGAAATATACATTTACAGCAACGAAAATTTGTAAAATTTTAGTATTAGTGATAGCCTGAAAATTAAATTCCATCTGATTTTGGTTGCTCAAGACAGAACAAACGCATTTTATGTTTTCCCATCACTTTAACATTTGTGAGAAATGTTTGTTTTGCATGCAAGTTCTGAAACAGAATACAATGAAAATTCTAAAAAGCTGGACAGATGTGTTTATTGTCAGGTATTACTGTACATCTGTGTAAATATATCAAAGCTATCTGAACTCCTTGCAATCATATTCTCCTCTACTGCAGCCCATGAGAAAATAGATTAACAAGCAAAATTAAATCTTCTAAAATTTGAATACTCTGAGTGGTATAAGGCACCCTCTTCACCCTCCTACATGGCGAAAAAAGGTAAGAGAATGGTTATATACAGCAATATTAAACATGAGTTTGTGTGGCTGATTTATTCTGGTGAACTTTTGTGGTACTTTATACTTTACAGGGCCTCTGAAAAATGCAGTACACATTTGCAGTGTGCACTGCTGCTCTGCTTCTTCAAGAATTTGAAAGTTACCTTAAAATAGGCTTCATTATGAAATGCTGGATCAGAGGGTTGTTATAACTGGGAAAAGCTTTTTTAAAAAATCTCTATTAAGACTGAGTTGAAACCGTAACTTAACCTTGTAGTACAGCAAATTTACTCAGTTCAAAGAAATGAGACACAGTTTGGTGAAATATGAATCAATGTTTCTCAAAATGTGAAGAAAACATGAAAAAGCTTCCTTTTCCCCCCACCCTCCACCTTGGGTTTTGGGGTTGGTTCTTTTGGTACAGGAAAAGAGAGGCATCTCCTAACTGGATGTTTAAAGAGGGGAGGGTCATCATCTTGATAATTTATATGTTCTGTCATTCATTTAAAAAATAATTGTTGGAAGGAAAATTTATATCAGCCCTGTAACCATGTGAATCCAAGAATCTAAACTCGCAAAAGCACAAGAACCTGAAGTAGTCAGTAAAGCAAAGACATGGTGCAAGGTGGGTTCTCATGGTTACTAAGGCAGGGAAGAACAAGCAGGTAGGAGAAAGTCAAAGTCATTTGATAAAATGCCCAGAAAACAAAAAATACAAATGAAAAGACCAGGTCTGGTATCTCTTCGACTCTCAGTTTCAACACTGAATATGACCAAGTATCCAGATCCATAGGGTCTGGACAAGCACAGGACAGATAATCAATTCAGAATTCAGACAGAGGCTTTATATTGAAGAACCTATCCCCACATAGTTTCTGTCTCTGTTGGATGGTGGCAGCAGGGGACAGAAATCAAAAGAGCGACTTCAACTAATCTAATGAGCAGAATTGCTGCACAGGTTCTCTCCTTGAATAGGATTTGCCACATCTCAGTCAAGGGGAGGGGAATAAAAATCATCAGTCTACCATCCACAAGACACTGTCACTGGCTTTGTCCTCCCAAAGGTGTATGTGGTTATTGCCTGGGTAAAGGGAATGCAGAACCGAATGAACTCAGGAGTCAAAACTCAACATGTAAAGCTGCAAAAAACCCCATATTATGTTAGTTATTTATATTGTAATAGGTGCTCTGGCTCCTTTTGTATCAGGACAGCACAGTTGCTCACAAGAATCTTAAGTCTAAATAACAGTACATGCCCCTCAAACTCTCTAAGTGATGCATTTACCTAAAGTGAAATTTTTCTGTTCAATCAAGTTGAAAAAAACTTAAGGGAATAATGATGCCAAATTCTCTGGCAGATAGAAATGACAGCAAGTACTAGTCCTCTTTTCTGTCTAGCTGGGGCAGTACTCCTATCATTAGGAATGAAGATGATATAAATTCACAATTCTTATTTGCTATATAGCAAATAAACATTTAGATTGTGACCACCTAAGAGCAAAATACAGTTAAAGACAAAATGCAGTAAAAATACTGTCTGTAGAATTATTCCAAGGACCCAGTGAACATTGGTAGCAGATCCATCAAAACAGTTCTGAAGTTTGACACATCTGCTCATTGAGATTGATGTATCACCCGAGCGCATCACTTAAACAATCAATATATATAAAAAGATAACTATAAAATCTTGTACACAAATTACCACTTTTTCCTTGTCATTTAAGAATTACACTGATTTTATTTTCCTCATATAAAAGGAGACATTTTACTCTGTGCTGATTTAACAAATATTCTTAATATAGTCACAACAATAACACGGTTTAAAAGCTATTCTAATCTCTAAAAGAATCTTTATCATCTGCACATGTGATATATACTGTAAACAATCACTCTGAAAAATATTTTTGTTAAAGTGATTATATTGCACTCAGAATTCTGGGATTCTCGTCCTCCCTTCTGATTTTAAATAAAAGATCAGCTTCATAAAATGGAGCTTTAATTTTCTACTAAAAACAAGTAGGCATGCAATCAATATAATACAATGTATTGAAAATGTCAGAAAAAGGGCGCGTGTTTGGTTATGAAACTGGAGTAAGGAACAATTCTCAAATAGGCCACACAAGAGTAGTATATTGTAAACATTCTGCTGGCTCTAAGGTGTTGCAGATGCTGTAGAAAGTGCAGTCTAGTTCAGCACCCAAGAGGTACAGAGAATCTGTTCAAGTGTTCTGTACTTCAGGAATTTCCATGCAGCAATGGCATGTGTAATAGAGCACACAGAAAGACAGGGTAATGAAACAGAGGTGATTACTGAGTTAATACTGACCTCATGAAAACAGAGCCAATCTTTATAAGCTCATTGTAATCTTTAAATGCAAGTTTTCCAGGTCTTTACATTTTCTAAAACAGCAATGAAATTGTCATTCTCGCTGCAAATGAAGTACAGAACTAGATTCCCTACTTGTAACTTACATGGATTGTATCCCAGTAGCAGTCTGGACATTACTCCCAGTCTAAAATATCCCCACAAGATACCATAATGCAGAATGTCACCTTGTTTTTACATGAGTTTGCAGGAATGACACCCTTCTCCATGCACTGGCTGGAGAAACACAGGTAATGGAGAGGGAGGGAAAAAAAAAAGAGGAATGCAGTGTTCTTATGCAGAAAAAGAAATCCTCAGCCAGTGTGAAGAGGCCACAGATCTTTAAAATTCAAATGAAGACTGTTTTCTCCACTCAGTTGTACAAGAGAACGATTTCTTTATCAAAGCCATTATCTTCAGGTAACATAATATCTTTGGAATCCCTGAGATACTACAGCTCCATGTAACCACCTCGGACAAATGGAGAGACCACTTAGTATACAAATGAACAAGGTGTAAGCCAATATATAGCACCCTGAGTTGCAAGTGAAACAACAGGAATGGGCAACCCATTCCTCAACAGCCAAGAGATGCAGAAGAACGTGCAGAGGAGCAATCATAAGATAGATACTACACAGGAGAATAGGAAAAACTGAAGTATTTCTAAAAGGCCTTTCCCTGTTGTCAGAGCAGTGAAGAAAAAGAAAACAGTCAGAGGAAAGAGCTATCTGAGAAAGGCCCTGAAGAAATATGGCCATCTAGATGTACAGCAGAACAGTAATGCAAAAGCAGAGACAAGGTAAGTGGTCTTGTTCCAAGTGTGCCCCAAAGGTCAAGCACTCCAGCAGTGACTAAAAACTGTCAGCGATCACCAATCTGCACTCTGGATATAAACCAGGAATATAAATAGACACTTTTCCCCCTGAAACTACAGAAAAAATACAAAGACGAAAAATACAAAGTCACAATCAAATCACAGAATACTTTCCATAGTCAAAAATTAAATACTGGCTTCAGAAACAATACAGTCATCTGCTCTGTATCCTAAATAGGGTTAATTGTAAAAAAGAGGTGCTTGTAAAATCTTTTAGGTTTTAAATATTTTATTTCCCAGTATATTGCTAGATAATTTTGCAGTTAAACCAAAAAGGAAGAAATATCAGAGATGAATATGAAATACTTACAACTAGAAAATGGTTGCTGAACCATCTGAATTTCTATAAAGGCATCAATAAAAATGTAAAAACGTGGTCTCACAAAATTAATTACAATCTGAAATGCCAGACTGTCTTCACAATGGCCACAAAACAAATATTGATGGATTTCTGCAACCAAAAACTAATTGTGACTTTGCCAAAAGATGGTTTAATAAAGCAATCAAAACATCTCTGAAAATTGGGACCTGTATTTCTGTAAGCAATTTGCATTAGAAAAAAAAATGCTACCTGGTCACAATTCTACTCTCTTATGGAGTTGTGCTATGTCTCAATACATTCTTGGATGAATGAAGAAAAGTGGATAAAAAGATGAGTAGAAATAGACACTCTATAAAAACTACTTGTAAAGTATCATAAGTTTGAAAAATATCTGTGGCATTACACAGGCTGATGCAAAGAAAAAAGTTGCAATTTAACCATTTCATGAATATGAACAATGCACTTGTTCCCAGCCATTTAGAATGATCTGACATTCCAAATGTTTATAAAAATTGGGTAATAAAAGAATTAAGTCAATACCCTTAAGTACAATAAATAATGGTGTTTATTATGGTCGGGGCTGACCACGAGCATTTGTTCCATATCTGCTTGGGACATTTGTAAAACCAGTCCTGAATCCTTGAGCTGCTCCCATCCCCGGTATTCCAAGTCCTTGATTGAGTACACTGCTGTAGGGTGTGGATCCATGATTAAAGCCCAATCCATAGGGCTTTGTCTGAGTGTTTAAAAGGATGACTGGACTCACATTTTTGCCTGGCGTGTTAAAAGAAAATTCTGGCGGTGGGCTGCTGGGCTTAGCTGGAGTGGACGTAACAGGGTTCAAATTATCAACAGCTTTCAAAGATGGCATTGAAATAACATGATGATCCGAAAGGTTCAGAATATTGTTTGCAATAGGCACAGATGATAAGGTAGGTCTGATCCAGTCATCTTTGAAAATCTGAACAGTCAAAGTAGAGACCAATGTGTACAATCTGTTAGTGACATGAGCAAGTACCATTTGTTCATTTGCATCTCTCCGAATTCGGACATGTACTGATCCAGCCTAGAAAGTGACAAAAATAAGTTGGCTGTTAACTGTTACTTCAATAAAGGTTCTCTCTATGCATCAAGAAGAAGTAAGTTATCCTGCAGAGAATTATGGCAAGACCTTCTGCAGTGGAGACCACTGACTAAATTAAGAACTTTAATACATACTTCCATAATTATGATACATTTTGATCTTTCCTACTGCTTCGATCTCTTATGAGCATATCAAGATCATAATTCGAGAAAAGTGAGTCTTAAAACCAAACTATACAATACAACATGTGATGGCAGGAAAGACAACAGTTGGGGAGAAAAAATGGCTCAAAAGAAGAACAAAGTGCAGACAAACTTCATATGCCAAATTGAGGCAAAAGTGTCATCACTGTGTTATTGGAGCAGCCAAGAGGACAATGTGCATGGTAAACAGGCTCAAATGGGGACCATTAGCAAGAACAGAGGCAATGGTTGTGTGGAGCTCAGGCCTAGAGCTTTCCCTGGATGTGCATCTAACTGCAGGCTCCCCCTACCTTCCTCTTAGTAACATTATCTCGTTGACCTTGATCTACTGCTGCAGAAGAGAGCAGGACACAACACAGAACCCATCACATGCTTTTTCAGCACATATTTAATAAAGAACATGGATCACGGTTTGTGCCGAACAAGCCATTTTTACATCAGATGGTGCAGCTGAAAACATATCCAGGTCTCAGGAGGTTTCTACTACAATCTGGAAGATGCCAATAGCTAAATATGCACACAAAGTTCTTGTAAATATCTGTCATCGATCCAACAATGCTGTGATCCAGTATTCTGGGTGACAGAATAGTAAACTGAAAGCTATTTTCACATCAGCAAGTAGGAACTGCAGCCTTTTTTTAAGAAGGGTAGCATACTGGAAGAATTCAGAAGTAGAGAAATATCCTAAGAGTATTAATTTTCCAGCTGTCATAACATCCCTGCATCAACTTATGAATAACCAAGTTCTGTGTGATCATTCTGTATCAGCAAAAAAACCCAAAAAACCCAAACAAACAAACAAAAAACCCCAAACCAAAAAAAAACAAACCAAAAAACCAAACCCAAACCAAACCAAACAAAAAACCCAAACAAACAAAAAACACACCAAAAAAACCCAAATCAAACCAAAAAACCCTTCTTTTTTTTTTATTGGTACACATCTCTAGTTGTTTTGTTCTACCTTCTCCCCTAGAAATGCTGAAAAAATACAATTCTACTGTCTACTGTAGACTTTTAGTACCTGAAGGGTTACAGTTTTCTTCTCCTTTCCTAGACATTAACACTAACACACCATTTGAAAAATGTTTTTGCTGTTGTTTGGGATTTTCTTCAGTGCCAAAATACAAAAGAATTCTGTAGTTGCAAAATGCATACTTTAATCCAGAACTGCAGTATACATTAATATTTGAAAAATATAAAGGGCAGGGGAAGAGAAGTTTTGCAATAAAGCACAAGGACTGCATACTGACTCCATCGATTTTTTTATAGTTAAGATTTTAGAAGAAATATCTTTATTTAAATAAAAAGTTTAAAGTAGTAACTGATGACTTTTTTTTTAAAGGCTAAAAAGATTATAGACATGACTTACCAAAGTGCCAAAACCTAATGTCCAAAAATGCTCATTTCGAACTTCCAGCACACCATCCAAAGTTGAAACCTAATTTTGCACAAACATCCAGAAATATGAAAATAAATTATAAGTTTCAAATCCCTTTAGAAATGTACTTTTATGCAAACATAACTGAATAATACATAATTTTCAGTAGTGAAATAAAAGCTCTATACACAGAACAGACAACATCTGCTAATGCCACTATTGCTCATCTACTACTTTTCTATCCTTAGACATTCAAATCAATAAAAAAAGATTTAAGGAACTTATTTCAAGTAACTCGTGCTGGCAAACTGCTATATGTTCTCAACTCAATACGCTGTAAGTCAACAGCTGCCTGTACTCCTTTTCTTCCTCTAATTCGCATTTGTAAAGCACTTCAGTGGTAGCTCAAATTTAAATAAAAATCTGTTCACTACTTGAACAGATGTGTTCCAGATACCTGAATTTCACTATTCATCTTTGAAAGCAAGTTTCATATTTTCTACATGCAGCTAAAAAATAATATTGAAAAAATAATTTTTTAGCAATCTTCTTGGACTACTAGGAAAAACGCTTCACATTCTTGAATGCTTATTTAGTTAGCTGTGCACACTGTGCTATGTATTATACACTGGCTTACCTCTCTAAGAAGTTTATCCAACTGGCCAATCACATGAGGTGGTGTTGTCTTCAAAAAGAAGAGGAAAAAAAAAGAAAAAGTTATAATAAAGACTTGTTTGCCCTGTTTAAATAAGAGAGCCTTTAAGTCCGGTCTACCTACACAAGAAACCAGTGGCATTAAACAATAAATTCTTATGACTTCATGATGCATATTTCCACTGCCTTTAAAATTCTTATAGCACATCACAAATTTCCATGGGAACACTTCTATTCACATGCTTAAAACAGATTTTAAGGTTTGTTTGCTTTTTTTAATGAGGACATTTAACAAAACCGAAATCACAAACCCCATTGTTCTGTGACAATGCCTTACCTGGAGTAGTACTTTCCCACTGTAGACACTCATGGGATACATGGTACCAAATGTCATCAAAGCGATGGCTATAGCAGAGGCTGTGTCTACAGCAAAATAATTGCTAGAGAGAAAGAGCAATTTTAAAGAAAAACTGCTATTTACATTTTTGAAAGGCAGGAAAACTTTCTTATGATTCTTTTTTATTCTTTTAAGTTATATACAGTTATAGAATATTACACATACTAATCTCAAATGAGATTGAACCATACATCTTGGAAAACAGACAAATGCATTTGTGGAGTTGCAATGCCATTCATACAAAATACAGCTCTAGACGAGATCATTCCTTTCATAAAAAAATGTATCTTCCCATAGACTGGATACAAAAAGATTTACTTTTTAAAAACAACAACTATACCTACTTGATTTCGATGAGCATATATGTAATGCAAAGAGCTAGAGCTCCAGCAATATCAATCAAGACAAAAGGGTTCATCCGTGGCAGAAAGATGCTACTTAATCCTGGGATGATTCCACAAATACTGTAACAAAACAGGAAAAGCAGCTGTCAGCCAGCTGTTCATCATTACTTCGAAACCCAAAAGTTACACCCACTATTTCAGCATTTGACTTCAAACACACCTTGCTGTCACAGCGTATGATGAGTACTGTAAAGGCCCTTCTAATTGTGCTTAAAGGCTGCTGTCAGTAAAGATTAATCAAGTTTAGATCCAGGTCATATTCCTTCCCATATTTAATACTTGACTCTTCCATCTTAAAAAAAAAATTGCCTTAAATCTATCTCCCCATCTACAAAACATTATATTATGCTAATCTTTATGCAGTTTTTCTACACATTAAAATACACATCTTGTGCCAGTTTCTTTTTTTCTGGTAACTCAGCTGGCTGTGTCAGCCATATGCAACACAAGTACTTTACAGGTTCAGATACTGTTCTTACATATATGTAAGTCTTGAGGGGTTTGCATATCACTAGTCTACAACCCATCTGCCACCTTACTGTGCAAAAGTGTTCTAAAGCCAAAGCTAACTAATTCATGGAGTCTGGAAAGAGTAAGGAGACCAGCTAGCTGAATAAGAGGAGACCAAAAAAACCCATGAGGGAACACTGGGAAAAGTTACTTATTTATAGCTATCTCCTATCAATGGGAGAATGAAGAGAGAAAGGAGGTTCTGTACTTCCCAGTTAATACAACTGCATGTCACGTCATGGAAAATTTAAAGGCAGGGACAAAATGAAACATCTTGTTGTTCTGTTTAGAGCCAACCTGTGTTTAGACATCATGTGCTGGCCTGCTCCTGTAAGAATCTTAATCAACATAATTATATACAGGTGCAGATATTTTGTAATCAGCACTGCTCCACATGAGGCATCTGAAACAGCTGCTGTATACATACTAATTCTTTTTTTTTAATTATTATTATTGGCATAATTGTATACAGCTTATTTCAAAACCCTGTAATAATTCTACACTCTTGATCTCGGACCCCTTCAAGTTACCCATCAGTGTCCTTCCCCATCACACCATGTTTCTACACTGATAAAAGAAAAACTCTGCTACTGTCTGTGATTTCTATCCAACTTTTTTTTTTCTTTTTTATATTGAAACTCCAGGTACTTGGGCAACCCAATTATTAGTCTTCCAAAGCTATTTTGCAGAATTTGGCTCTGATGCCCATATAATATCAATTATTCTGTTTAACAACTCAGCGTTCTCTGCTTTCCTCAACTGTAAAAAGATCACAACATCCAGAAACAGATGGACTTTGAAGCATAGTTAACATGTTTTACAATATACTTTAACATTCTTATTTCGATACTGACAGATACTTGGAAGAACATGTATGGATTAAAATAAACTTTTCTGACATCTGACAAAATTATATGCAAACAATGGTTCAGATATCCAATACAAGCAAGAGAGTTAACAGACAAGATGAATGAGCAACACTGCTTCTGTCCCTGGAAGACACAGACTTTTCAGTGTCCTGCTGGACAGATGAGGAGTTTCCATAGCTATGTTTCTGTGAGTAACCTGTTTCACATATCACTTTTAAACTCAACCATCTCAGTCATTTGCCCAGCCCACACAGTAAATAAACACAAATTACTACAAAATATATCACTCGGGTAATGAATATTGAGAAATGCAGTTCAAGTATGTACAAGATAATGCTAGTTCTCCTCGTCTCATTCAAGGAGAATTACATACAATGTACTGAACACATCCATTCAAAAGGAAAGATATCCAGAAAGATGTATTTCTGCTAGATTGATGTATCCGGGAAATATGGCAGACAATGTTTGCTCCAGAGTTCATACACTAAACCTAGAGTAGGTAAAGCTATTTTAAAAGCTCTAATACAACAGTTTATACCTCAATACCTATCCAAATTGTTATTATACACACAAAACCAACACTGCCTTTCAGAAGTTAACAATTTTGAAAAACAGTATGAAGCTTTACCTTCTACTAAGATCTGCGACATGCTCCTGAAGCCAGCTTGTGCTGGCAGCTGCAAAAGAAAGAGGGTAATAAAGTTATTACAAGTAAAGGTATCCATTTTAAAGTACCTAAATTTTATTTTAAGGAAAGAATCCAATAAATACACTGTGAAGTAGTAAATGTATCTCAATAGATTCACTGGCATGTGAAAAAAACCAAACTCTGACTTTTCCAGGCAGTAAGTAAAACACCCATCTTGTAATAATCTGAACTGATTAAATACAAAACAATTGCAGATTATAACCATTATCTTTTGTGTAAGAAAAAGTATACTGTATAATATATAATTATTACTATAAACAATTTACAGTTAGATGGAATGAATGCAAGCCTATCTCACAATGAAAAATGTAGAAGAGCTATTAAGAAGAATTATTACATTATTTTTATCCATTAATATATCCATAAAATGTCTTCCAAATTCCACTATCTGTCAGATGACCTTCACTGGTTGAATCCAAAAAATTGAAAATAAAGGATAATTCAACATTAAAATGACCCTTAATTTATCATATTAACGACTACATTCTACTCAGAGCCTTATAAGCAAACTAGAGTTGAAAATCAGATGGCAATTTTAAACTGCATGAGGTTATAAGAGCAATATATGCCCCCTAGTTAAGAAAGTTACCAGACAAGTTATATCTTAATAAAAATACGAACATTAAAATCTTATCTCAGTTGTTGTTATGGTTTAATTAATCACATACCTTCAGAGACATAAGCAAAAGGCTTATTCCTAATGGAAAGCATTGTAAATAAGTTGAAAAAGAGGGCCACGAAAGTACCAACCAGCAGTCGTCCCCTAGGGAGGGGAAAATAAATATCTTAATTTCACACCATCACAAACTACATTAAGCTATATAAAACTATATATAAATATATATAAATGTATAGTAAAACTACAGTAATTACATTAAACTGTAATTACTAGAAATGATACCAAAATACTTTGCTTGGTATTTTTCACTGAGGCTGAAAACAAGAGTAAGATAAACTAGTGTAATGCTTAATAACTGGCAGCGTATTATCACTGTAAGGGTTACATGAGATCACTGAATTTTGTCCATAATTGTTATCACATTAGGTTGTACCTAATGTTGAATAACAGTTCTTAACTAATTACATGTTTGACCTTTGAAGATATGAATAAATTGTCCCCTCATCAGCACACCTAAAAAGCTTAGTTTCCTACAGTATGCCCCTATCCTTTTTCTAGAACTACAACTTCACCATACATCCCATGTCCCAGATTTTCGCCATGTAACACCTTCTTTTCCTTTCCACACTTTCTTTATAGTCTTCATGACCTTTGCAACACCTTCAGTTCCCTCATGACCACAGCATCCTTCCCCTCAACATACAAGGCCACCTAAGAGACCTCGATAAGAAATGGGAGTAACTAAACTAGAAAGCCCAGCAACATAGAGTTAAATCATTATTTAAGAGAGCATCAGAATTACGTTTCAACTGTACCTTGAAAAAACTGTTCATAATACAGCTTGCACATAGTTTGAAACAAATGCCAAGGTAGCAAAAGCAATTTGGTGCTGAATGTACTTGCATAACTAACACATGATAGATTAAGAATTAGAAACATAAAGCGGCACGGACACATTGTACATGTCAAAATAATTTCTTACGTGTGTATCTCAGGCTGTTCCAGAAACCGCTCTGCACTACAAAAATAATTGAAAATTTGAGTTATGTTCATACAGTAAAACCTTGAAACCTGAAGCGTATTTTTATAGTTCTGTATATGCCATTCATAAACAAAAACCGACGGATACAGCACTGAAAAAAATTAATTGCTTAGATAAACACAGCAATTTTTACAAGCAATGAAAGCATTTAACACTGAATCAAAGCAGATGTAATTTAGGTTTTCCAAATATTTCCAAACTGTGCTACATAGGTGCTAGCTACCATGAATGCTGCCTACATGATAAAAAGATGCTTGTAAATGAACATGCAAGAACGTACTGCTACTGCTACCACCACCACCACTGTTGGTGACCACAAAAAACTAAGTCTGAAATTTCTGACTTACAGCCTCTCACTAAGTAAGGTCAAACAAAGTAGACACTGGACACTGTGGAAGACACATTGATCTTTTTTTTTTTTACGCACTGGTAAATTACCAAATGAGATGTAACAGAAAAGCCTACGATCAGTTTTGATGTTGGAAAATTTGGAGGCTTTGACAGTGGGTCCATTCCAGTGTACTGTCAGTACAACAGACCAACCTTATAGTATAAAATCGCTAAGTTGTTAACATAGCCCTTTATATAGAAAACAGAGCCCTTGAATAGAAAAAGGGATGGTACACTGCCCCAGTTTTAAATTCCAGATGTTAACAAAAGCCTCTTCATCTTTAAACACTAAAATAATTTTTTAAGCTAACCTCCTGAAACACAAATGCTTCCAATCATAGATGGTATGTCAAATTAATATATGAGCAAATTTTGCAGGAGTGAAGCAGTTGATAGTTTAAACATTCAGATTCTTAATATATTATGTAGCTGCTTTACTTCACGAAGTAACAGAAGTAAAAGAGAAAAAATAATTAAAAATAGTTTTATTTGTTAATGAATTTAAAAAGTGAAGATGCATAAGGAAATGCATTAAGTTAATTACCCAACATTTTTGAAAAATATATTCTTAAAGACACTGAAACTTTCTCTTGAGAGCTGTTTAATTATATTTATCAATTCCTATCATTATATCTAAACCCTACATGTAGAGTAATAAATGTGAGTAAAAGTGGTATGGTTTAGCAATATTTAAAAAAAAAATTTTAAATTTTTTTCTAAAATATCTCTAAAATAGCACTTCTGGAATGCATGTGCTTTGGCTCGATCTGGACCATATCTCAGAATCACAGATTCACAGAATATGCCGATTTGGAAGGGACATACAAGAATCATTGAGTCCAACTCTTAGGCCTGTACAGGACCGTCCCCAAGAGTCACAGCATGTGCCTGAGAGTATCATCTAAACGTTTCTGTCAGGCTTGGTGCTGTGACTACTTCCCTGCGGAGCCTGTTCCAGCACCCAACCACCCTCTAGGTGAAGAATATCTTCATACATTACAAAAAATTAAAGAAAACAGTACACAACTTACCTTTCTTTCAGTATAAAAAGAGCACCAAGCTGTGCCAGAACTGTAGATGCAAATACGGCTAGAACTTCAAACCTTTCAAACCTGAAATTTGAGAATTAAGTTTAGGAACACTGAACATCAGAGTCTTTTCCATACAGTAACCAGCAGGACAGACCTACTCTTTCCAATTCCTTCAAAAGCAGACAGATGGGAAGAAACGGGAAGTTTTTAGAGTGGGTATTATTTTCAGTTTCTTTTAAGTCAATACTCCACTTACGAGATACAGCTTAAAATTAAGTATTTCTTAATTCTTCTTCCTGTCCCTCCCCTACTCTGTAACTGTTCTTTACAACATCAGTCTTGGCCCTCCTTATTTCTGGGCTCTTTCACACACGAATTATTACTCATGGCTGTTAGGGGATCCAGGCAATGATAGTCAGCAACATATCAAATGTTGCATTATCAAACACCACATCTTGTTATTAGTACTTACCCAAATGAATAGACTGGGCTGGGTTTCTTCATCATTACCCAGTAGCTTATTAGACATGTTATCAAACTGAAAAAAGGGGGAGAATTAGACTATGATAAATAACTGCAGCCTTTATAAACTGGACAATCTACAAATACACTTGAGCCATCAGAACTCCACAAACAAATATGACCACATCTTACCCTGACTCAACACCTCCACCACTGTCACAGTGACTGTTACAGTGAATCCAGAAAAGGTTGTGCTTGGGAACAAAGCTGAGACTGCACGATGATGTCTCAGTTGGTCCCATAAAAAGGGCAGCAAATAATTTTAGCAGAATGGTAGTCGATCTAATTCCTCAGAGCAGGAGACAGCCTAACGCTGTCCTTATGGCATGCTGTGCTTTCAAAGGCTACCACCAACCTTCTTCAATATAGAACATCACCCAGCCTAAATGAAGTTTACCATAACTCCAAATGGAATGCATTTTTCCTCTGAGACCCTGACACAAAATAGCATAACCAGTGTTTAATTTGCATGTGCTCCATGAATTTTTCTGAAAGACCAGGTACCCCAGAACCTGACTAACAGGCAAAAGTGATTTGACAAAATCTTCTTAATACTGTCTGGTACCACACATAGTAATGAAAAGTACAAAGCAAAAGCCAGGGAAAGTATCAAACTAGACACCCAGTAAATGTTCCCCTTGCATTTGCTTTTTGAACTTGCCTAGAGATACTGTAACCTGAGAAAGGCCATTTAAATAAGAAGGAAGCTAATCAGCAAGACTGTGAAAAGAAAGAAATCAGCAAGAAAAGTGAAAAAAAAAAAAGTAAAGGAAGTTTTCCACTAAACTCTTTTAGAGATACACCAGGAATTCAGTTTAGCACCCTAGACTGAGTCTCAGGCCACGGCCAAGTATTGCCTTTCTTTGTCACAGTGTAATTGCTCTACATATATGGCCAAAACAGATTTACTTTCTTTGGCTGCACTGATGTATACAACCTCTGATCTAACTGGCCATTCATTGACAGCTACAGGTCTCTCTTGCTATCTTCTTTCCACGTTTTTCTTTCATAATTAACACTAGAATTCCAATTATTTTATCCCCATGGTACTAGCCTGAATTTTTCAAGGATGAGTCTCATTTACTTTGCCTATTTTTAACTCTATTGACTCCTTTGGACAGTTTTTTTAAACAGGAATCCATACGGATTTGATGCCATCTCTGCCTTCATGCAGTCCTTTCATAATTAACGACAATGTTAAATCAGACTGGATCAAGAACTGATCCCTACAACTGATGAACAATCACATCCTCACAACCTGATCCCCAGCTGTGCAGAGTGAAAGAAAAATCAGAGGAAATAATACTGCTCATACACAAAACAGCAAATTCATATACTCAGTAAGACTATTATAAACAACCAGGAAGATGAGAAAAATGAAATAACCACAAATTGAATTTTGCAGCAGAATTACTGAGCACTGTTCTCCCTTAGAGCAAATCAAAACTCTTGAAAGAGATCGCTGTGAGTTAGAATAATCTTCTAGTCCAACCCCAGAAAAGTTGCCAGGGGTATTCTATCTTCTCCTAAAACTAAAATTCTACACAACTAGGAAATACAACATCAAAACTTCCCCCAAGGTGAAAAAGGTATTTTGGGTCAAGATGACAAAACTCAGCAGATACAAAATTGTAAGAAAAATACGAGATTTATTAAAGTGAAATCACAATTCTAATGCAGTACAGATTAATTTAACTGAATATATTTCACATCTGTACTACCAACATTACCAAAAGTGTTCAGAACTATCATACTTAAAGTAGTTTTAATATAATTTTCTTAAGAAACAAGAAAAACACTAAAAATATCTAATACCACACGGGAAGAGTGCCTGGGACTCGGCTCATTAATATTTTTGAAATAGAAATACAATTACCTACTCCTTGTTTACTGATGTTAAAACTGAGGGTTACTTCAAAATCAATGACTCTGGCATCAGGGAAATGCTCTGAGTGAACAACCACATGACAGTTTGATGATAGAATCTGTTTTATGTTGTCATGCATCTGCACAGAGAATTCCATGACTGATTTGCTACTAGTCATTCTCAATACAGCTATGGTGGGTTTTATAATCTATTTATTGTGATGTCCAATTTTATACTTATTTATTCTATATTTAAACCAGTTACTGTTTCTGTACTGATGACTAAGTTACATGTGTTTGCATCTGTAAGTAAATGTTAAGTGTATGGAAATATAAAAAGACAGGCACAAATGAACAGTAAGACAAAATGGGAAAAAAACTCACCTGAAAAGGTCAAAGATTGTCAAATATGTGTAAGCAGTTAAAGCTGTAAAAAAAGCAAATATTAAAAATTAATACAGTTTTTCAATGCAGAAATCACTTGTATTCTAAGTCCCTTTCATGCAGCTCTTTTCAATCTTCTATCTACATAAACCGTCTCTGCTTGATAGAACAAGTCTCTGTGAATGTTCTAAACACACCAATATATTTAACATCAAACAGATTGATTATGGCAATCCTAATTCCACTAAACAATGTAATAATGCCCAGATACAAAATGTATTACATTTTTGGTTATGTTGTGACTAGGAATTTAAATACAGAAAAGTTGGGAGATCTTCCAAAAGCACATCACCCACCAAAGCAAGAGATTTCTTATGTGCATTATTGCAGTGAAAAGTAGGTTCAACAGAATTTTTTACTTGCTTTGCATCTCTCACCTATCTCAAAACCACAAGGAAACCTGTGACAAAAAATAAAAATGTTCAACCTTCTATTTTCAGTACAGAAGATCTCGAAGCCCCTACTCAGAAGTAGAAGACATACAAAACTGCACTGGGTCTGGCTGAGATGGAGTTCATTTCCCCACAGCAGCCCTGGCAGTGCTGTGCTCTGCATTGGTAGCTACCAAGGTGTTGATAACACACCGGTGTTTTGGCTGCTGCTGAGCAGTGCTGGCACAGCATCAGCGCTGTCTCTCAACATTCCCCCCCCATCAAGGGGTTGGGGGTGGGCAAGATCCTGGGAGGGGACACAACTAGGACAGCTCATCCAAACTGACCAAATGGATATTCCATACCATGTGATGTCAGCTCAAATATAAAAGCTAAGAAAAGGAGGGGGAAGAGGAGGGCATTCGTTATTAGAACGTTTGCCTTCCAGAGCAATTGCTACACGTGCTGAAGCCCTGCTTCTTGGGAAGTGGATGAACATCACTTGCTGATGGGACGTAGGGAGCAATTTTTTTTCTCTTTGCTTAGGAGTGTGCAACCTTTTGAACCTTTTGCTTTAGTAAAGTGCCTTATCTCACCCTAAAAGTTGTCTTCCATCTTATCTTCTCTTCCCTTTTTCTCTCCACAGCTTGGTGGGCAATGTTCAGCCAAGGTCAACATACCACAGAAACACTGAAAAGGGGCATTCCTGGAATCAAAGAAGCCTAAGCCATTTGCCACACTACAAACATCTTCATTCAGCTGCAAGTGAGGGCCGTTGTATGTCACTGGTGATATTTATACAAGGAACAGGTTTGAGGACTAACTCAAAAGTCTACTGGATTTCAGTCTTAAAGATGAAGAAGATACTGCAGGAAGCAAACAACCAGCAGGTCAGGAAAACCTTTCATTCATTCACACTTGACTGTGAAAAATGTCTCTAAACTGACTGTGGCAAATCAAAAGGAAGCTCTTTCTGAACCTGGCTGTATAGCCACCTACCTCCACTACCTGCTGAACTTTGCTTTTTCAGTCTGTTAGAACTTCACAAGCTAAGAAACACATGGTAGTTGGTTGTAGCTTCAGTACAGGAGAGTCACCTACCTATGCTGTTTGTAGAGCTGCACCACATGAGCAGGAAGCCAATACATATTAAATTTATAGCACCAAACAGCAAAATCTTCCAGGACTGTTGATGAGAATAAATATGTATTTTACATCTTCCAAAATTTACAAGACAAAAATATATCTATTTGGTTTTAAAAAACAATATTGCAGGACTTCATCATGAAAATAGAACTGGCTTCTCTTCCCTCCCAAAAATTTACCACTCGTTTCAGAACAAGAAGCCCTTATTCTATTTTAAACTTCATAGATTATTTCAAAACTCCTTTATAAACAGCCCTTGTTCACCATGCTTAAAATACCATTTTGGTCTAAAAAAAAATCACCCCTGTATAACATTTGCATTTTATTGTAGCACATACCATCTCACTTCTGAAGATAGATTGGTACAACTTTACATTAATGGGTTCCTTTTTTTTGAGCCGAAACTTTGGACCCAAAAACATCTGCACATATTCAGTTTAGAGTTCTACTGAACATATTAAATATAAGTATAATTCTGGAGAACACTAATCAACAGGGACAGTGCACAGGAAGGAATCCAGCTTCAGAGCTGGATTCTTTTTTTAAGCACAACTAGAAAATTCAAAGAATAATTTTCAAAATATACTTAATAATATATTTTAACTTATCACAGCTAATGTCTTTTTATTATTGTGATGATTTTTTAAAGCAACACTTACCCTTCTATCTGCTACAACCAACCTAAATTCATGTGTTAACTTTCCAACCAATGATCTCTGTGATTTACGGAACAGATGTATCGTCCCCTTAAAAAAAATCAAAAGTTTAATTAAAACATTTTACTTAAGCCATGGTTTAAATTAGCAAAAAGAAAATATTCATTTGTGAACTATTTTCATAATTCTATCAAAGACTCAAAATTAATTTTTTATGTAACTAGTAAATATCTCATAGACAATAAATAAAACAGTATTTTGGTAGCCATTTCACATGGTTATTCTATTAGAAAATGATGAATTACTTAGAATCAAGTTTCATTTAGACATAATCCACAATTCAAGCTTACAGGAAAACATACTAAAATACCATTTAAAGAGTGGGTTTAAACTTTTATTTAGATAAAACTACTACAGACAGTCTGACAACACAAATATTTTTCTTTATCAAAGCATACTTCCCACCTAAAGCCAATAGATTTACTAAACAGGAAAATATTGTTTATGTATCTATAAAAGAGAACCCATCAGAGAAGTAAAAACAATGCTAGTATCATCTGTGATGTGGTGGACACAAGGCCAATAACACTATGAGAGATACAAACAAGCTCAGTTAGGGCTTAACTTAATCATGCACAGCAGATGTGGTCACTGTAGGTGCTCCGTCTCCTAACTTCCAGTGGCATGCAGATAAGCTCTTTCCTGGTGTGGAGGGGATGTATGTGCATACAGGAGATGGGAATGAGGGGGGCTATGTGCCTTTCCTGAAAGCATGACAGGGAGCAAACAATTCATCAGCCATGCCACTTGGCTCCCTTCCCTCAGAGGGCTCAAGCTTCTAGTCAGTTGTTTTCCATCCTGCTGTCCCCACAAAGAAATAAGCTTTCCATGTGAAAAGCCCTTCTGATTTGCAATAGAAATTTGTGGATTTGTAATGGATGGTCTGTCATCCGCAGCAATTTGGGGCTGGACAAAATAAGGTTTGATTTTAAACTATCACACTTCAAGTACCAGCAGAAGACAAAAAGATAGGAATTAGGAAATGGGAAATTAGGAATTAGGAATGGGCTGGTCAGCAAAGCAAACTCAATTAACTTACAGACATCTTTGTCAACACAGCTGTATTTTACATTACCTGAGAAATATATGTGTGCCATGAATTAAAATTTAAGCAGTACTACAGATCCAAGTTTAGGTCATCTGGGGCAAAACACTGGCACTTATTGTTTTCTTTACTAGCAAATCATTACACTATTATTTTATTTCTCAACGGAGACATGCAGGATGCCAGAACACTTTGGAAAGCTTTTCTAACAGGCAGTGGACTGCCTACCTATGAAGGTTGCTGTATTGCAGAATCACAGAATAACCTGAGTTGGAAGGGACCCACAAGGATCACCAAATTCCAACTCCTGGCCCTGCATAGGACAGCCCCAAGAATCACATCATGTGCCTGAGGGCGTTGTTCAAACACCTCTTGAACTCAGGCTTGGCGCTGCGACCACTTCCCCAGGGAGCCTGTTCCAGTAGCCAATCACCCTATGGGTGAAGAGCCCTTTCCTAATATCCAACCTAAACCTCCCCGACACAACTTCAGGCCATTCCCTTGGGTCCTGTCACTGATCACCAGAAGGAAGAGATTAGTCCCTGCACCTCCTCTTTCTCTCAAGAGGAAGTTGCAGACTGCCATGAGGTCTCTCCTCAGTCTCCTTCAGGCTGAACAGACCAAGTGACCTCCGCCGCTCCTCATACGGCTTCCCCTTCAAGCCCTTCACCATCTCCGCAGCCCTCTCTGTTGCCTTCGCACCCATTTCTTTCCTGCACTATGTCCCTTGCCCAGCCATATTATGCCCCATCTCCCTGCTTACTGAAGGATGCTGTGCTGTATATTCTGTGCCACAGAGAACCTCGCACAAACCCATCCTAATCACAACTCACCCCGCAAGCGAGCTCTAACGCAGCAGGTGTTGCACCTTGGCATTAAAGCCTCCCTAAATCCTACTGTTCTGCCAACACCTCAGTGCGGGCGAGGAGGGCAGCTGCCCCACACCTCAGCCTCTGGGGGTCCCCGTGTGGTGCTAAAAGAGCTGCACAAGAAGTGTTTCCGCAGCGAGCGCCCGCGTCTGCTCCGACAATGCCAACAGGTGACAGCACCTGTTATTGACATCGATGTCACTTCATTGATACTCAGCATGGAAAGAGAACATTTCGCCGCCCAGATGAACACACACACACACACAAAGCGGTCGTTCCCACAAGAACGACTTCTCTTTGGGAAGCGAGACACAGAGTGACAGCCCCATGTTCCCACCGACAGACAGGAGCAAGGGCGCTGTAACCTGCTTGTCCTGGGGTGAATCCCAGTTCCCCGACTGATGTGCCGGGGAGTGAAAACTCTGAGGTTCAGACCCAGCCCGGTTATCTCATTCGAGACGCCCCTCCGGCAGAGCAGCCCCCACGACCCCGGCACCATCCCGCCTCTGCACGGTGCCGGCCGGCCGCGGCCCCGAGAGCCCGCGGCGACCGCGCTCGAGGGGAGAGCGGGGAGCTCCGAGGAGGAAACACCGCACGGACACCGACGCCCCCCGCAGCCCTCGGGCCCCGGGGCCCCAAAAGGCCGCGTCAACCCGGGCGCCCCGCGGCGCCGCCGCCCCGGCGGAGGAAGGGGCGCCTCCAGCAGCCTCCTCGCTCCCTGTCCGAGGCACGACCTCCCTTGCCCCCTCCCTCCCCCCGGCGGGGGCCACTCACCATATTACTCCCGCAGCGGGAAACGGAAACCGTACACAGGCGCCAGTGCGAGGCCGGAAGGGCGGTAGGCGCCTCCCGTCGCACGCGGGAACGGGCAGGGCCCGGCCGGACCACTGCGGAAGCGGCGCCGCCCGGAGCCCGCGGCGCTCCGTCCTGCTGCCCCGGGGGGTGCGCGGCAAAACCCGCCCTCCCTGGCTCCCGTGTCGCAGGCGCAAGTGGCGGCCCACGAGTACCCGTGGGAGATGCGGGTCATATACGCCGCCGCACCGCATTGCTGCGGTTTATCTGCCCGCTGCCTGCGAGAATCCGAGAAAAGGGCTCGGACGGGTGGTCACGATCACGGAATAAACGGGATTGGAAAAAGATCATCGAGACCAACCTATGACTGAACATCACCATGTCAACTAGACTAGGGTACTAAGTGCCACGTCCAGTCTTTCCTTAAACACCTCCAGGGACACCTCCATCCGTTCCAGTGTCTAATCACCCTTTCAGTGAAGAAATTCTTCCGAGGGTCCAACTCGAACCTCCCCTGGCGCTGCTTGAGACCGTGTCCTCTTGTCCTGTCACTAGTTGCCTGAGAGAAGATGCCGACCCCCACCTCACTACAACCTCCTTTCAGGTGATCGTAGAGAGCAATAACATCCCCCTGAGTCTCCTTTTTCCCAGACTAAACAACCCCAGCTCCCCCACCTGCTTCTGGTAGGACTTGTGCTCCAGACCCTTCCCCAGCCTCGTTGCCCTTCTCTGGACATGCTCCAGCACCTCAATGCCCTTCCTAAATTGAGGGGCCCAGAACTGAACACAGTACTCAAGCTGTGGCCTCACCAGTGCCGAGTACAGGGGGACGACCACTGCCCTGGTCCTGCTGGACACACTGTGGATGATACAAGCCAGGATGCCCTTGGACTTTTTGGCCACTAGGGCACACTGCCGGCTCATGTTCAGCCAGTCAAACAGCACGCCCAGGTCTTTTTCCACTTGGGTGCCTTCCAGCCACTCCTCCGCCAGCCTGTAGTGCTGCATGGGGTTGTTGTAACCCAAGTGCAGGACCTGGCTCTTTGCCTTATGGAACCTCAAACAAGCATCCTGTATGCCACCCCACCACATTTCTGCAGTTTATCTGCTCACTGCCTGCGAGAACACAAGGAAAGGTTTCTGATGTGGTGGTCATGATACAGCAACTCTGCAAGGATGGGTTTGCTCCCAGTATAAAAATATACCTGAAATCACACTAGCATCACCACAGCCAGCACTCGCTCTGCTGCTGTACTGGGCACTAATGGCAGTCAGTACACAGCTTTCAAAAGGGATTCTTTTTCCCAGCAAAACCCCCAAAGGACAGTAGCTCTCCAAACTACAGAAACTCTGTTGAAAATCTAGTCACTTTGTTATGTGCTAAAATTCTGAGAACTGCTCCCGTTGCCCTGAATATGTTAAAAACATTAGAAGCATTACAGTCCAGATGAGGAATCTACATCCCAAAGTCTATTGCAGTCTGAAGCAGAAAGCAAGCTTTGAAGGAGGATTCTGCTAGGGACTATTGCTACTGAGGCTCTGGAACACCGGGACATGAGGACTGCAAGGTGACAGCCATCCCCTCGTGTGGGCTGACCAGCAGACTGCTTAACTGTGCCCAATTGTTTCTGTCAGAAGGAATTTGCACGCTAAGATCACTTCACATGGAACCAGCATTCACGAGAACAAAATACAGAAGTCACCTTTGAAGTTTAGATAGCTCTCTTAAGGAAAATTGTGTTGTAAAACACTTGCATGGGATTTAATGAATGAAAAGATTTAGTCATAAAACAGCTTATTTATTATTGCATTTGCAAACCAATTAGAAAAGAGGTAGGAACAAAAATTGAAGCAAGCTATTTTATTAAAAAAGATTATTGTACATACTAAGATACAACTTTCTCTAACACTGCCCTATCTTTGTTCTTTCAACAGTCTATTCAGTTGTCTAGTACTCATAGGTAAAGTGGTTAAAAATATTATTTGCATGTCATCTGTTCTGTAAAACATACCAGAAGACTTACCTGCCTGTGGCTGAGAGAGACGCCTGTACATCAACTGAAACCAGGAACAAGCCATGTTCTTGTTTCCCAGCCACTCTGCGTAAACTTTAAGTGTGTACTGTCTCCTGTTCATGTGCATTTGCAAAGCATTGTGATTGAATTATTGATAAAAAAACAAAATAATTTTTATTTTCCAGAGTGTTATCTGGTCCTTACACAGCACAGGATCATTAATTAAGAACAACTGTCAGACTGGATAGGTAATTATATTCCATGAAACACGTATTTAATGTCCCAGACCTCATTCTAAGCTGTTGGCTGTAATCAACAATTTTTTTCCAGTCTACAGAAGTAGTTTTGGGAACATTTTCAGAAAATAAGCTTTGCACTCTATAGAATCTGCATGACAGGTAAGAGAATTCAAATTGCACCTGCTGCCTCCATTCAAATTTAACCAGGCAATCAGAACTTAACATGAACCACTAGGGTCACATTTTACCTTGTATGATTTGCTCCACAAATACAAAGTTGTTTGGTTACTTCATTACTGACATACTGTCAGGCTTTTTGATTATTTCATGCCTTATTCCCAGAAGAGGCCAACAGTTAGAAACTCCATTAGTAGAAGTGTCTTCTCGGAAGACAAATACTACAACTAATAGCACAGCTAATACCAGCCTTCTGCATATAACAAAGCTAACAGTCTTCAAGGATGTCTTACAACGGAGGCAATTTTTAGGCCTTTTAGAAATTGCTAGAAGGAGATTTGAAAATAACAGAAGTTACAGTATTAAAAAGAATATATTGTTTTTACAGTATATACTTGCCAAAAAAAGTGAAATATTCAAAAGCATTTGGTAAAAACAGCACTTTGCATATTAGGTTGTTTGTAGGTTGATTTCTGAAAAATACCCTTTTTTTATAGCTACAACACAGTACCTGGAATAAATCACGTGTTGAGAGGTGGATTTTAGTTAAATTGTATTTTTCTGCCTTCACCACTACATAATATTTTCTGTATTATCACTACACATAGAATAAAAAATTACTCAGAGATGAAGTTGCATAACTCTCTCTTTTCTAGAGCCATATGAACCCTTGTAGGAAACAGGCTGCATTACACAAGTTCACAAAGTATTTGGAAATTTGCAGAAAGATGGCATGAGTCAAAAAACAAAACAGAAAACCCCAAACAAAAGCCAACAACTTTAAACTTAGTTTTTCTCACTTTTCTCTGGCAAACTTAGAGCACTAAAATATAGAAATAAACAGATTTTCATCTGAGATATGCCTGCATCTGACAAAAGGCATGCATCTGACACCAAGCATGTCATCTTGGCTGGAATGGGAAAGATTTAGTGAGTCCAAGATACTTCAGTCCAGGGTACGCTGCCAAGTACATAATCTCTGTAGACTTCAACACAACAAGTGGTGGGATATTTTTTCAGGCTCTTGCTTCTCCACTAATTTTAGTTTACCTGAGCATCTCCTCAGAATAGAAGTCTATTTAACCTCCAAGAAGTAGCATTTCAGCCAAAAAGAGATACTGGATAATTACCCCGCATAGATAACATTGATGTCTTTCTATCCCAAGGAATTAATCCTTGACAGAATCACAGAAACAGCTCACATGGTTCAGTCCAAAACATTGGGGTTTTTTCCTCATTGCTGTATTGATTTTTATTTGGCTTGCTTGTTTTAGCAGTGATTGATAAAATGATGCGTGGAAGGCAGTGGTCACGGCTGCTTTCTGAGAGCCCCCTAATGCTGCAAGATATGTAATATTAAAATTACTCTAAAAAAAAGTTTGATTCATCTTATCTTTGGGATGTAAAAATGTAACACCCAGTAGTTCCTAGCAGTCCAGACACAGCCTCAAGACTGTGGAATTACAAGCAGTAAGGAAATGGGGATAAGTGTAGAATTTAGATTGTTAACTCAAAATTAACAGCAGCACTCTCACCCAAGCAAAAGAAAAGGTGTCATTTTGAAGCCAAGAAAATTGGCTCCAAATTTTTCAGGACTTCACCATGACCACTAGAATCAGTTATGTGAAACCTCCTGGTTTTTACTACGATCTAGGCAAGACTAGGATAAGCACACACTTTCAAGTTCAGCACATTTATTTAGGAAGTAGCGCTTCGGTTTACATTAGTTTTAAGAACCTGAGTTAAGTCCTTTAGAAATTGATTTATTTACACATTTATTGTTCCATCATCGGGTATATGGCATCTGATTTTTTGATTTTTTTTTAAAACAGCAGCAATTTAATGGGCTTCCAGTTTAATGAAAATGCTCTTAGTTTTTATCTGAAAAACAGACAAGAAAACAGTAAGAACAGGACAAATGCAACATTTTATTGTGAAGCTAAAGCTATGTGACTGCTCATCATGCTTTTTTACACTGCTTATTAGTAAAATGGTGTTCCAACATTTCAGAAAACATTCTTAAAAGAACAATGAAATAAAAGTGCTTCAAAACAACAAAATACAAATATTAACCCCATCCCAGACTGGAGTCGTCCAATATACTTAATGGGGGTGGGGTATGCTGTTCTGTCTCCACCTTTGGTTTTCGTCACTTTAATACATATTTCTGAAAAACACTGACTAGCCCTTCACATGAGTAAAAATTTGAATCATGTGGCATAAACAGTTTCTGTGTTCCCAGTCCCTTTGATGGGTGTGCGACTGCTAGATAAAGTACTTTATTCCCCACTTCTAATGGTAAAAAAACCTGCCTGAAAGGCTACTCCTGGCATCTTTGAGAACGTGCCTGTATTAACCAACTACAAAGAACGCTGACCTTTTATCCTCAAAGCCGCTTCTCTGAAGAAAGGATTTTAAGAAGTGCATCTCATGAAGGCAAGGAAAGTCTTACAGCAAAACAAGGTTGATCACCACAGTTTCCAGAAATAATGTCAAACATTTGCAAATCAAAAGATCAGTCTCTGAAGAAGTGTTTAGCCAATATATTGAATCCACTGGAGGAGTGTATATCTTGTCAATTATTGCCAAACTCAGGAGGTAGTTATTGACAAGGTAAGAAGTTTCCACTATAAGACAGTTAACAAAGGAAAAACAGAATACACATTTCCCCATACTTCACAAAATGATTTTGTATTTTCAGGAAGTGACAGCTTAACTTCCTTGTCCTGTGGAACTATAGTTACAATATTTATAAGAAAAAATATTGAAAATTATAATGAAAGAAAAAGATTCTAGAATAAAATAACTCATCAATTGTTCACTTCTTAGGATGTCTGCAGATCATCCTAAACATGAAAATACACACAGGTCGGTAAGACAACATTCTTCAACGCTAAACAGCAGCTCAGGAGAAAATAATAATGTAACTGCCTGTAATTAGCACAATGACTGAGATAATTACTTGCGTTCACTACCTGCTTGCTACTCTTCATTCCATTTTCGATATCTGGTAGAAGTCCCCAACAACTAAAAACATCACAAAAGCTTGAGGCTGCCACAGACAATGGATGAAAATCAGGTTAAGATGCGGTAGGGCTGGACACCTCCCAAAGCTGCCACATGCAGAAGCATCACTGAAGTGCTGGAGTAGTTGGAGAAGCAGGTCTTAGGCACAGCTATGCATTATCCATGTCTTGGGTAGGAAAACACTGTGAAAATCTAGGGCATGAAGTCTCACCATAGGTGATTAGGGAAACTAAGGAGCATGCTGCTTTCCAGTTGCAGAACAGATGTCTCAGTTAAATTTGCTAGCATATCTGACTTCAATATTCCCAGCAAAAAGTACTTAAATTTCACAAGATGGACTTGACAGCAATGCCAAGCAATTTATTCTAAACCCGTTTGTTTAGAATAGAAAAAATACTATTTATTCTACACCAGAAGGTAAGGTTAATTGAGTTATATGTATAAAAACTGTCATTTTAAAAACATTTGAGAGAATCTGACAGTGAAACCAGCAATGGCCTCTAATTAATGCAGTGACAACACTCCTCAGTTTAGAGATCCCATTCTTCTCCATTTTAAAGTGTTACTATCACATTTATTATGTACTTAAAGTAAGTTGCAGGGCCATATTCAACAGAACTATATTAGCAGCTGACTGTCCAAAGCAGAGTCAGGTAAATGTCTCAGGGACAGAATGCCTATTTCTAATACACTAAACCCTGTAAAGTCTAAGAAATTAACAGGACAGAGAGACTTATATGTGCATAAATACCCTAATTTAATATTCTGTGTTGGTTTGTCTTAGCCATAAGGACACAACCTGTACAGGTTTGGTGTAGTCTACAGAAAAGTCAACATTAGTAATGGGGACATCATAACACATAACGAATTGTCATTTTAAGTAGAAAGAGCATTCTACAGTGCTTGAGTTTTTCCCTCCTGTTATGCCAATAAAAGTAGCAACCTGCAGTCTGAGGAGACATTGTTCTTCCAATATGGAGAAAGACAAAAGGTGCTGCTCCTCCTTAATAAAAGCAGGAACCTGTTTAATAGAAGGAGAAAGATGTATAAAGAAAGTTGCTAAAAAACACAGGGAGCTTGGATTGGTTGGGTTTTTTTTTTCTCCCTCCAGTAACTGCTACACTTAAGGTCAGTAAAACACAGTTGCAGAAAGCCAGACAAGCTGCTTCCTAATCACCTCAAAAAAGTGGGTCAAGTCACTCATTAGCAGTGGGCAGATTCACCAAAAAAAAAAAAAAAAAGGAAAAGACAGTTTAGAGAGCTAATGTAATACCAGTCTTTGCAAAGGTTAAAAGCACCCAAGCTGCTGTCCTGTGTATCTGAATTTAAGATACTGTATTAGAACAGAACTTGATTTTATGGAAAATATAGATGCAAAGTTCTATATATGTACTACAGACTTGGGAAATACAGGTAATTTGAGGTTTGGGCGGGGGGCATGGGGGGAGAGGGGTGTTTAGTAGGTTTTTTTGTTGGTTGTTTTACTCAGATCTGCTCTTATACACAGTTAATCCAACACAAAGACAAAATCACTGAGATGGGACAGGTAAAACGAGAAAGAAGATGCAAGATAAAGCCTTAAGAGGAACAGAATTATTCTTAAAAGACACTATTCAGAAAATAGCATAAGACAAGACATTTAAAGGAGATTTATGAACTAAACAGCACTTGGTCATGGGCTAAGAATCCAGCAGCTGTGGAGCAAACTGATGTTGCAGAACAAAGTTTTGTTCTTTTTACTGTGTTCCAGCACTAATTTATAGAGCTGTAGTTTACCCATTAAGCAGAAATCCGGTCATAATAGACAACCAAAAAGTAGTGCACAGACTCTCTTGACCTGAACTGGTTGCACAAAGCAGTGAAAGGGCTTTTCTTTCTGAAGTAGCAGCTTGTGATTCTGACCCTTTGTGCTGCATACTGGTGCTACTTTAGTAGATGGGAGCTTCTACCTCAACATTTCAGGTACCCATCACATGCCAATAAGTATGTATTTGAAATAAATAACCAGTATATCCCTCAAAATTAAGTGGAGGAAAACAAGAGGTTTGTAACAATCATTTAGGAACACTCAAAACCAAAGTAGGCGTCAAAGTTCTCATTTGCAAAGGATCTCAAGGAAAGGTTACAAAAGCTTTGGGAACAGAACAACCAAGGGTCTTTCTTAGCTGTAGCTATTTGGCAGATGCTAATACAATAGTAAGAGTCATGCTTAGCACTATGAAGTCTATTATAAGTGTGGATCAAGTCAGCCAGGAATCTCCAACAACACAGACAGTCTACTGAAGGCAGAACTAAGGCAAAGCAAGACATGAGATTTAAGAGTCCAAAATCTTTTAGCATTTCTCAGTTCTCCAGAAAAGTGAATCAGGGGATCAGAAGTCACATGTTTCATTCATGTCAGACATACATTTGAGAGAGTCCTATTCTTAGAAGGCTAGAAGTGGTTTGGTTAGACTACTTCAAAAGGCATACTAGTGTAACACAATCTTCTCTCATTTGATTGCTTTTAACCTTAAGATCAGTTAAAAGCATCTCTGGTTAAAAAAAACCAAAAACAGAATCCCAAACATATTGCATTGTGCATTTCAGAAGTTCAACAATTTCTGCTTATTTAGTACTCAATACCACACAGTGAGCACAGAGTCCTCTACTAATACTGCATCTATCAGCTAGGGTTTTTTTTCATATATACATATAATATATTATTTAAAGTCAACTTTTAGGTGCGCAGTTCCAAAAAATAAGTTAAATGAAAAATTAAAAACAAATTTTCTGTTAAGACCAAAAGCAAAGAACACTTGTAACTCATTTTAATTAAAACAACAGTAAACAATATGCATTTTTGTAATATCACTATTGAGAGTTGTAAAAAAACCCAAAATCAACCAAACAAAAAACAACCCACAAACCTGCTTTAACAAGGAACTAGTGTTCTGCCTTGCAAATATCTGTGTTTAATCCATGTAGAACTTGTAAACAAGATGTTGGGCCTTTAGAAGTAAAGGCAAAGATGCTTTCCTTTATTACAGTATTTAAACGCTATCACTTAAGAGTTTGTTTTTTTAATAGCTTGTCATTTATATAATAAAAACAAGTATTTGTACAAAGATGCAGTTTCTCTTTAAAAAAGCAGATCAGTTGAGTGTTTCATACTTTAATATATAAACCTAAACATATGAAAGCTATAAAAACATTAAGGTGTGCCATGTATTAAACATGTAGCCTCATATTTTAATGCTTACATGTGGAGATTAAAAAAATTATCACAATGGAAATTTTACTTTCAATTATCATAAACAGACCAAATACAGAGTAGAAACACATCATTTCTGAAATCTGACAATTAGTATCACTCTCTCAAACATCAGCTGGGCTCAAGTTGTACACTATAAGCATAAGCTAACATTCTACCAATGGAAGCGTTACAAAATGCATTAAGAGAAAATACTGCCAGTAAATGAATATCTTAGTCTATTCTTTTATTTAGTTTTTTTTCTTTAAAGACAGTTTGAATTGGTTTTAAAGGGTTGGGTGGTTTTGCTGTTCTGCTATCAAAGGTCTTCTTTAAAACTGTTCTGTGAACAATACAGTCACATTACAATGAAACAAAAAGACAAATAATAACAGACCAGCTGCTTTTTACATTTTAATAATCATAATTCCCCAATGCTGTTCTTTCTATCTGCACAGGGAAATTGTTTTATTTGGCACATTAAGGATAAAAAAGTCAAAAACTGAACCAAAGTTTACAAACCTCCAATTGAACATCATTGTTCCATGTTAATTGTTCACCAATGTCATGGTAAAATTAAAAACAAAAAGCCACACACACAACATAGGGAAAAGGTCTTCCAATGAACAACATCATCAGAGCCTTGCAACTGAAACCATATACATATATTATTGTTCAAACCATAATCAGATTGCTAGGAATCTTATCTCAAGTCCTATTGTGCTCTTACTTACAGTGTGTAAATCCTCACTAAATGGCAAGGAGGCTTCGATGAAAACATTTCACATCGTATAATTTTTTCTTAATCTCAAGTTTCAATGCAGATACTTAAATATCTGTAAAGTCCTGTAAACTCTGGCTGCTTTCCAGTAGTCTGCACCAACTGCTTGCCAGGCAGCACTTTGTTTCACATCAAGTAGTGTTTCACACTGTGGTATCTCCAAAGTCCTTGTTCCAGCGAATATATGCTTCCAGCGTCTGAGGGCTCAAACTGCGCTTTATCTTCTTCAAAGACTCAGTGAAATCTGATAGTTTGATATTTCTCATCTAAACAGAAAATGAAAGACATCAGGATCATAAATGGTCTATGTACTTCGGTTTGTTCAAGAAGTACTTTAGTATTCACTTCTAACAAAGCATCTTGATGTAAGACAGAAATTTTTACAGTGAGAAGAGTCATTCACCGGAACAGCCTCCCCAGGGATGTGGCAGAGTCCCCACTGCTGGAGGTTCTGAAGATGTGATTGGACAGGGTGCTAAATAATCTCATCTGGGTTCTCTTTCCCACAAAAAGTTGGACCAGAAGGTCTTTAAAGGCCCCTTCCAACCTGGAGTGTTCTATGATTCTATGACCTGGTGCAAGAGTCTTGTAATTTAAGACTACCAGTATTTACCATTTTATTACCCTGGGTAATAGTAACATCTGTCTTGTTATTTAATAGCTCATGAGACTGTGATATTACTCCCTGTTTCACTAGGTGGTGTGAGCTGCTACATATGAGGGTAGCACAACAAATTATCACAGATGTTGTCAAGTTCTTGCAACAAATCCTTTCTGCTTTTCATAGCCTTAGCTGCAATCTCAAGCCAAACACAAAAAGCAACTGAGAAATTAAGTTTTGCTGCATTTTTCTCTACTTAATTGTGGTTTACACACACACTTCAACAGAAACTTTAGTACACAGGACCAACCTCTACCTTTTCTTTTGATGTTTACCGATGGTGACAAGCTTAATTATTTTTCTTAATGATGTTCACATTCCATGTGAATGAATGTAAGTATTATACATATACACACACAAATCTGTTCTACAACTCCTCATTCTCCTAAGTTAACCTGCTTTATGTAAATATGGGGTGGAGTGAGTAGAAACGATTTGACATAATACTTCTGAGAATGTTCTGGGGGAGTAACACTGTGAGAAAATAAAAGCCAGGCTTCTGACAGCATCTAACTGGTAACAGACATTGCAGTTCAGTGTGAAGGAAAAGACAGGACAGTCAGCTGAAATGAAGATCAATAAAGACTTGCTATCAGAAAAAGAGATGCTCTTAAGCCTGATAACCAACAAACAACACAGATGTCCTCAAACATCTGAGGACAGATCTTGTATTCAGTCACTATTTCTACAGAATTCTCTTTAATGAAGAAGTGATCAAAAATGATAATAACCTCCAAAATTATCTTAGGTATTTTGTATGATACTATGTGTAAAAAAAAAAAGGGTCCTTAAAAGTTTCTAGTGAGCATGCACTTTATTCAGAGGTGAAAACACAACTGCTGGTACATCTTACCTCACTGGCAGACATGTTCTTCACCTGTTCGGGTTTTAATTCTGTAAAAATAAAAGATCAGTGAGTTTCGTAAGAACAACTTTCATCACTTCTGACAAATAAAACATGTTAAAAGCACTTTTAATCTGGAAAAAAACCCTGCAGGTAAATATTATATCTTTCTGCCTCAACATAATCTCCTGTACAGAAAGGTACATGGTGTTTTTGCCTCCTTCTTCCCCATTTATCAGCTCCTCAACCAGGCTGCTCCCCCACTCAGTCACTGCAGATGCAGTACAAAGCAGTAGCAGAATTACTCCTTCCTCCTAAAGTATGGGAAGCAGCACATCAGCTAACAGAGCTTACCTACCCTCGTATCATTCCTGGTACCCAGAACTGCCCTACTCAGTTTCAGGAAACAGTCAGCCAAAAACACAGAAATAAAATCAGGCAGGGCATACTGGAGTGTGTCTTGCCCTATGCTGCCCTTGTGGGATCTAATCCTTCCCATATCATTCACCATTTTACCTTTTTTTTTTCTCCTTTACTTGCAATGCTGTTATGGTATCAACATATTACAGCAAACATTTTGCTCTGAGGGTGCAAGAAAAATAATCTAGGCAGGACTGGCAAGGCTGACATTGAAAAACATCTTAAAAAACAAATTGTGTTATATGGAAGCCAGGAGCAGGTGGAAGAAAGACGTAACACAACATTTCATTGTCTCTTCTCGAAATGGACTTTAGTGTGAAGTGAGTTATCAGCAAAGTAAAGCCTGCATACCTAAATGCATACACTATTAATTCCACCACTCTAAATAAATATATTCAAATTCTTAGGAGATATGATGTCTCTTATAAGAGCCATTTAATGCAATTCTGTTTCCAGTTATTATGCAGGATTTTGGAAGATGTGCCTTACAATCTCAACAGCTGAAAGAAAATGTGTAGAAAACATTACTTTCCAACAGCTGCTTTCAAAAAGATAGTGCACTGGCAAAACTGCATGCTATAGGATTTTTGACTAAATTAAAAGAATAAGAAAACAAACACACCCACAAAACATGCACAGACCTCTCCTCCCCAGCTATCATTTAAGAGGGTTGCAATAACACATAATATTACAGAACTGATATTACAGAACCCTTCTGCTCTGCCTGCCTTTAGTACCTTTCTGTTGGGTAGGACGATATGGCTGCAAACAGAAAGCTAATATCAAATCTTCACAATCTTTTCTTCACAAAAGCCCCACTACTGATTTCCACTAAACAAAATCAGCCCCTTCAGATGTGGCTACTGGACACATAATAACTAGCTAGTGGAACAGAGAGAACATAGAGAGGGAATGTTGGACAAAACCATCCGCATTAAAATTGTTTTTTTCAAAGCTGGAAATGTCAGATGAAGAACAAACACTTAAAACTCTATTTGAGTCTCAACTATCATCTGGATCACAATTCCACTTTAAGAAGACTGAAAAATAAAAGCAGCTATGCCATTCAAACTGTATGTAAAAAGAACCTCACAAAATTGCTTGTTTCAGTTTTCCTTCCTTTAAAGTTGAAAGAGATTTGCGCCCTTAATCAAGACAAATAATGCAATCAGAGACTGCTATTCAAGTAATAATTTAGATAAAACAGAACTGACACCAACCTCAGAAAGACATACTAGTTAAAAGTCCCATAAACCTTCAAGAAACACTTCACCCTGCTTTCCTCCTAAGAGACAAGAATGGTCCTGTTTCACATGGTGAAGAGTTTTGTGTAAGGGAAGTCTTATAAAGATGCTATTATGAAAACTAGACTAAAATCCAATGTGAAAAGTTTAATTTCAGAAGTTTAAGAATTATAAAGATGTAAGAAAATATCTCTAATCTCAGGGCAATAAGTTTGTTCAAAACCTAAATAAAAATCTATACAGCTTACCTCGAATGGGGCCCAGGGCTGCATCCTTTGCTAATGCAGTTAGGTCACTTCCAGAGTATCCATCTGTCATTCTTTGTTAAAGTAAAAAGTGGGGGAAAGGAGGGGAAAAGAAAAAAATAAACACCTGCTTTAAACTGTATAAATATAATTGCAGGTAATTAAAATGTTACCTACTCAGAAGTATTACTTTGATGTTATTTTGCAAGTAAATAAATCAGAAGTGAATTTTAGTTAAGTGACCTATATTTAAGTCTTTCCTAGATTAAGTTTAAAGTACTTCAAGTCCCAAATAACATTCTAGAAAAAGCAAAAAGGTAGCAACCAGTTTGGATTTGTAGATAAAAACTAATTTCAAGCACATTTACTATTTCTGTTATGAGAACTCCCTACCACTAGTTTATCAACATTTGTCAAATTAATATCAAACCAAACCTCAACTGTTCTGTACTCTTTCAGCCTGATCAGCACAATGAGAGAACCCAATACCACACATTAAATATGATGTGATATGAAGTGAACTGAAAGGAGGATAAATTCTGATATCTACTGGGGTTTGGTTTTTTGTTTTTATTATAAAACTGGCAGTCATACAAATCATCCAAATCTTCAGAACTACAAGGTAGGGGGTAAAAATATTCAATCCAAGGAGCCAATCTCTGTGGGAGCTTTTCCAGAATTATATTTAATATTCAAGTTAACCGATTAAATACTTTGCAGAAAAAAGGTCTCCACTAAAGCAGGAAGCCATCAATACATCATGCCAACATAAATGAAAAGTAGTAGTACAGGTTACCTAAAGGAAAATTTCAAAACAACAAAACCCCCACCCTTGTAGAGCAGCGGTTAGCTGCAGCAACAAGAGTTTAGTCTTATGAAGATCATTAAGTCTGTTTATAGAAAAAGTTGCAGAGGAGCAAAGGAACACAAAATCATGAAGGAGGTTAAATACCTATTTCTTTCAAAACAAAGAAAGATGGAAAACAAAGCAGGCAGGACCCTCACCTTTTATATTTTCTCAAAACCCTTTAAAAAAAGGTGTACTTAAGCTGCATTTGTAATGTAGTTCATAAATTTGCAGTTAGAATACAAGACACTGTCTTTTTCCTCCAGTTAGCTATTACTGCAGCCTAAATGAGGCCTGAGCTAGCAACCTTCAAGTACAGAGAGAATATGTTCAGTTGGATTACACATCAACCTTTGTAATATTACTAAGAGCCTGACAAATGCTACATACAAGACTGTACTCATGTCCTGTGTACTACCACAAACAGGAACAAAAACTAAAGTACATCCACTTGCATATTTTTGCTATCTCACACTTTGTTTTGATTCTTTCTTGCCCTAGGTGCTCTACCTGCTTTTTAGTCTAACTTCTTTCATACCTATTATTAGATTTAGGTGACTAAAAGCCGTAGTGTGTCAATCTTAATGATGAAAAACATAAGCCAACTCATTTTCCCAATCGAATATGAAAGTGAAAAGAATCTAAAACTATCCAGTGCTTGCTCTGCTATGTTGGTAATACATTCAACAAACCTAGCAATGGACCACCACAGAAAAGTTAGTTCTGATTTGAAATGCATGCCAAGTGCAAAATTGGTCCTGCCTGTTTGCATCAGGGAGGAGAGCTGGACTGCCTGGGGGATGGGTGGAGAAGCAGCCCCCCCCTCCTCCTCGAAGGAAACCACTCATGAGCATGTTTCAACACCAGAAACCTGACTGGGTGTGTGTGTATACATACATACATATAAATATATATGCACTTTCATACAGCTTGACAGGAAACCATCTTCCCAAAATGCATGTAATTCATGTTGTCACTATCTGATGATTTACCTCAGTTACATCTGGAATTAATAAAACAGTCTGATGAGTATATTTATTCAGTATAACTACAAAATACTTACCTAGCTAGTTGAGCCAACTCTTTTTGGGTCAGTGGACTTCCTTGTTTACTTAGAAGGTTTTTTAGTAAAATCAATCTTGTCTAAAAGAAGATACAATTATCAGATGTAAAACCCATTTTCACGGTACACTTAAAATTGTGTTGCAAGAACAAAATTACATGTTTGTCGGTTTGACTTTTGTGCTTCACCAGTTTAAACTTGCCTTTAGTGCTTTTGTGATTAGACTGTACACTATCATCTCTTCAGGAGGAGAGATAGGGACTGGATAATAACAAGATCAAGGGTCTAACTACTCCAAGAATAACACATAAGAATCCTCATCAAAAGTCCTGATCTGCTGTTGAGGTGAAAAACATTAAGAAAATTACTTTAATCTTTTGCAGTAAACACTCTCCTCCAGCCAACCGTGCTCCTGCAAGTCCCACTTCAGACTTGTCCATGCCTGCCAGTAAGTAAGCAACGCCTCACTAACCAAGACATACTAAGTAGCTACTACCAGATTTGCTACTAGCATGAGTTTAAAAAAACAAAAAAGCAAACACTTAAAATAGGTGCCAGAATTAAAGCACAGTGCATATGGTCAAGCTGGGCCAGAGGTTAATTCACAGAACTGTAATCACCCACGAGGGCAAGCTAATTGCTTATAAATATATCTTAATAGTATTTTTTTATTAAAATTGATCTGAAAATAAGAAAAAGGAATGGAAAACAATACTTACTTCTTCATTTGGTAAAGATACATATACCCGTTTGGTGAATCGTCTGGGAGAAAAAACAAACAAAAAAACCTCCATACATATACACACACACAAACACACACTTTCATAACTTTTGGCACATACAGATCTAACATTTGGTTTGGTAACTGTCAAAAATTTAACTTCCATTATCAAACTGTAAAGCTTAGAACTACAGATTTTAAAAAAACCAACACCAACAACCAAACAAAAAATATGCACAAACTACTGGCATCACCTTACTCTTATCTGAAGTTGTAAGACTCCTCCCAGAGAGGAAACACTCTAAAGGTAGAAATACCAGTGACTACCAGTAACAAAATGAAGCATCTCTTCATTGTACACAAAAAGTCTTTGGAATCATTTGAACAGACAGTGCTGACATATCTATTTTCCTCAATCAAGAATGAAAAGAGAATAAAGTATGAGTGCTTTTAGCAAAAAGTCCTAAGGCAAATCTACAGGAAGATCTGTAATTGCATGGGACATCAGAAGTCCAGTATTCACAGAGAAGGAATACTGGATTTCGCCAGTCAATTTTTTTCCTTCACTTTGCCATTAAGATCCAAGTAATAAAAGAGCAACACATATGCAAGAAATTTAAAAAGCACTGACTTGATCTCAACAGGTACTGCTGTTTCAATTCAAGGCCATCATGACTGTGCAGATGTATCCCAAAACAGAAGAATAAAGCATCTCTGAGAGGTTAAATAATTTAACCTTGCTTCTACTTATTCCAAAACTTCACCGAGACACTAAGTAGCAAAACCTGTTCTTCATAATGAACATCATATTACTATATTCAAAAAAAAGAAGAGACATTTTGATACCTGAGGACAGCATCATCAAGCTCCTGAGGCCTGTTTGTTGCTCCCATCACAAGTATTCTGTCCTCTCCAGAAGACTGCACCTGTATAATGTAGGAAGGCAAGACAGATTTCAGTTTACACAGTTTACTGTAAGTAGTAATAAAATAAAAGCAGTTGGAGACTTGCAATGTATTCAGCACACTGATGGGATCTTAATACCTGTGCTTTTTTTCCCCCCATTAAGTTATCTTTAAAATATTCTCAGATAAATGTAAAGGCAACCTAGAAAAAAGAAAAAAAGAAAAAAGAAAAAAACAAGAGGGAAAAAAAAGGGAGAAGAGACAAAGAGAGAGAGAAGAGACAGAGAGAGAAGAGAGAAAAGGGGAGAGAGAAAAGAGAGAGGGAAAAAAGAAAGAAAAAGAAAAAAAAGAAAAAATAATGTAAACATGGGACACTATGATACTATGCCCAAGTCATATTGCTTGACAAGTCTTGCTGGAGAAACCTGAGACTATAAAAGGCACTCAGAAGTTTAGTCATTCAGAGATAATTATGTTTTAAAAGCCAGAGACTTTCTACTGTTCTAGTTTTAACACCAAACAGTATTTTGAAGGCTACAGAGGGAGAATCAAAACTTTAAAGTATAGCTGGAACCACTATAGCAGATCAGAGATTCATCTAACACAGGTCTCACAAGAATCTGGGAATCAAAATGAGAAGCTATTCAATAGCAGAAAGATACAACCAATTTCCCTCCCAATTCACTCAACTGCAAGACTTGATTTTATACCCAATAAGAAGGAGACTTATATCTTCCACACCTTGGAGAAAACTTCTGGGTGTCAGAGACATTATTCACCTGGTGTCCAATTCTTCATAGACTTAAGTTCACTGCTACCTTACCAAGTTCAAAAGGTTCCACAAAAATATTGTATGATATAGTTACACCTTAATGCAAAGTCTGCTAACTTAATATTTATGTTTAATTTGTCCTTTTCATCCTAAGAGAAAACTGTGTGTGTGTCTGTTATCATTTCTGCATGTCATTGTCACATTGTCCTGATTCATCAGTTTTGGAGTTTTTCCCAATCTTGCTGTCTCTCCATATAGTTATCTTCTCCTCCTGTACCTCATTACTATTGCTTCATCACTGAAGCAATATTCCACTGTGCTAATGGAACATAAACTAAATTTATTCAATACCAGAAAACAGTGCTGTGTGACAGAAAAATATTCTGATACTCATTTGTGTGTGTGTGCCACTCTGAACCCCAATTCTTCTTTCTGGATAATGCATACATGCTATTAAATATATTCTTACTGTACCCTGTCTTCTCTAGCTCACAGTGCCAAGAAAAATGCTCAACTCTCCCTAACCCTCAAATGTCCCGCCTGCTCTGTAAGAACATTTGTCCTCACAGCTCCTTTATTATTGCCATTTGTTATCCTTTCTCCTGTGTGCATCATTCTTCAACCCATTATTTCAGCTCATGAAATACTACCTTAAACTTCAGATTGAGTTTTCCAGAATACCGCAGTAAGAAGGTAAAAGATTAACAGCAACTGAAAAAAGGAGGGAGACAGAGCTAAGCCCCCAGCAGCCAAATCTTTTGTACTTGATCTATAGCTTGTACTGGTACCCACTACATCAGCCAATTCAGCTAAATCAAACAATACCCAAGACTAAATACTTACACCATCAAATGCTATTAAAAATTCTGTTTTTAAACGCCTGCTGGCATCATGTTCACCTTCTCGTCTTTCACACAAAAGGCTATCAACTTCATCTAAAAAACAAAGAAATACATCTTAATTAAGGATACAACATCAAAGTCTTCATATTTGCCTAAGTTCTTTTGCTAACACAGGGCTCCATAAGAGAGATCAGATCTTTATTTCTTAGGAGACAGCTTGTGTAATGTGTTGTCCTTTGAATATGTAATACCAAGCACAGAGGAGAGGAAAAAAGTCTTGCTGAAAAACTGCAGTGGAAGACAAGCAAAACCCATTTTCATGTTTGAAGTTTAATACATAAATGGACTTACTCTGTAGAGTCAGCACGCTATTTGTGGTTCTGAGGGCATTTCTTCGCACTATTAACACCAATTAAATAACAGAACAGTAATTTAACATGCTCTATTATGGAACAACTGATAAACCACAAGGTCACATCTGAGATACTTGTCCTGCAGTGCAGAATTACCCCAAAGAAATTTACCCAACTATTCCAATTTAATAAGATTATTTAAGAAAATAAACAAAAGTCAACATTTAAGCTCTTACCAATAAAAATTATAGAAGGTTGAAGTTCTCTGGCTACAGCAAATAGAGCACGCACCAGCTTCTCCCCTTCGCCAACCTAAAACAATAATAAATTGGTTTTGGAGGGCGTTTAGAAAGTTTTTACTACAAGACAGATATACAAGCAGCCTACAGAAAATCTTGCTGATAGTCAGTCACACTCAGTCCCATTTATACACACTCAGATTATCACTAGTTCAGTATTGCATATGTCTTAAAAGAAACATTACAACTTAACTTATGATCACAATTCAGCTAACTGTCAAGAAATTTTGGTGCCTAAATTAAGAGAGTTAAAGGGAGCTGGGACCCACTTAATTTACTTTTTAAAGAAAAAATACCCTGCAAACACTCATCTACAGGACAGTCAGGGTCATCCTAAAGTGCAAAAACCTTTGACATTAATTTATCACAAGCACAAACTGAAATTTTTTATATCACAAGTCACTTTTTAAAAACTATGCTCACTACAGGCTAACAGGTCACCAAGGACTCAGACATGTCTAGCTTTCTCAAGCCCAAATTACAGCATGTGTGTTTTCAGATCAGTATAATTTACAGTTGCTACTTACGTATTTTGAAGTAAGGCTTGCTGCACTTATATTAAAGAAAGTAGCATTTGATTCTGCAGCAACTGCCTTGGCCTAGGAGGAGGGAAAAAAAAAAGTACTTTTTGAAACATCACAATGAAGATAGTTCTCTTCTTCTGTAGCAAGCATTCATGGCCTGATTGATGGTTTTGAAAAACCCTATTTTTTCAAAGAGAACAGCTTGTAAATGGTACAGAAAACTTCTGTACAGGCCACTTACAAATAAGAACAGATAAGCAGGCAAACCACTAGAGAAGTTTCCAGACCCCCTTAGACTTCTCTAATTACATTTATTCCATAGCCAAGTACAACTTGCTTACTAAAGAATACAAGTCCCCAACACTTTTCAATTTATCCTGAGTAGACATTTGAATCAACTTTACCACTCGGGTGGTAATTTAAGGCAGCAGTTGGATCAAATCACATTAAAAGTTAAGGTGGTTTTTTTTCCTCCTTATCCTATCTATACAAAAACCAGCTTTCCTGAAATACAATCAGTTCAGTCAGAATGCTCATTCAGACTACCTTCTTCAACAGTTTCACCATATTCAAGTAATTATGATTGTCTGGTTATACAGTTTAATTTTAGTGATCAGCAGTTATGTTCCAGCATGCAAAACACAACAGAGGAGCCTAAGTGGGTTCCTCAACATTCACACTCCTGCACTTCAGAGCTGATCCAGCTTCAGTGCCAGCAAAGAGAGTATGCAGCTGCAGCCATGCCATGTGATGCAGGACAATGTGCCCAGCTCAGCTGCATCAGGACACTCAATGCTCCCTGGCTGATGCACAGCCATTTCACTCCAGTTCCCCAAATCTAGTACATCAGGCTGAGAAAACAAGCTGCAGCCAGACAGTTCAACAGCCCTTACACTCTTTGCATATCAGTGCGTGAGACAATCCCCTTTCTTGCTACCGTGCTCCCTCCCCATTTTCAAAATGTATTTCTCCATAAAATTCACTGTTAAGAACAATTTTGCATTTTTGTCTATAAAATGACACCATAATACATACTCAAGAATATACAGTTTATTACCACACGAGCCAAACTAAAAGCCACCCTTCCTGGTTACATTTTAAGCCCACCAACTCATGCATGAAGTAATTTTCTCACCAACATTGTCTTCCCATTTCCTGGTGGGCCAAACAGCAATAAACCACGTGCAGGAGCTCTTAGACCTGTAAACAACTGAAAAGTACATCATTGTAAGTTATCTTCAAAGACTTAAATAAAATGTGGCTTTGCCTTTGTAAGAAAATGGTCTAAGACTGAGGAATGGTTCATTGGTGCAGTGCTTTTAACAGTAGCAGTGCCACAACAGTACAGGTTTCCAGAGAGCTATGCTCTCTGTTACTAACTTGACCTAATGCACGCCACTATTGTTTCCCACACAACAGTTAAATTACATTACGATTGTTCTGTGCATGGATGCACTGTGAAAGTAGTTTAAAACACTGTCCACAAGACAGACTAGCCTATCAAGTTTAAAGCATCAATTCCATTTACAAAGGAGGTAATACAGGTGTGTAGTAGGAGAGCTAAAGCAATGTTCCTACAAACTCCATATGGAAGAACTCCTTCATCTTTCTTTTTTTTATTAAATGAAACTTGAGAAGACAAGCTTTCAACGAAACTATTTAGAATATTACTTAACAACCACCTACTCCCTCTATGTGCTACTGATAGTCATCTCCTCCCTCTCACTTTGCACTGGCTTCATCTTTCCTACACTATAAAATAGCACCAATCACGTATCAGCACAGCAAGCAAGTGTAAAAATTCTCATAGAGTACATATCTTTTAGTTATTATTGTTGCCTGTCTTCTCCAGTACTTTGTCTTTACCCCTTTCCTCAAAAGTTTCAGAGTTCCTTTTCTGGTCTCACGCTCACCCGTCCCTTCCAGGTTCTAATAATTCCACCAAACAAGTAAAAGGAAAAGTAGGGAATCTCTCGTATATACATCCCATGTCTAAATAGCTCTGTCAGGAGGCATTTCTTTCCACAATATCCACAAAAACAAATAGCTCCATTACCAGTGTTGTATTTCTACCATGACTAACATGCATTTTCTCTGTTATTTCATCATCCACAGCATTTTGTTTGTGCTTGACTCTGATCACTAAAAGTGGTTACCCGGCTATTCACTAAGTGAACGCTCCAGTGTTTCTGCTTTCCATGCTGCATACCACCGTGTGCATTTTCTGTCTGATTCCTTTTGTTTGAAATCATTCTTTGGAAGTTCACATAGCCCAGACCAAATCTGTAACTTCCTCACCTTGATCATCACCTACACAGTTCAGCTGCAACTGCCATTTATCACCAAGACACATTAAGCTTTTCAGGTTTTGCTAACCGACTAATCATGGTCTGAACTAATTGCTACCATTCCACTAGCATCTTACTGCTGAAATGACTGCAGCCTGTATTTTCTGTTTATGCACCTCAACTCTTGCTCTCCTACAAAAATACCATTAATTGGCTTGTTAAACATGAATTTGAGTTCAAAACTCATTAAAGTTAAAACTTAACTAGGGTTAATTTACTAAATATCCCCCTATACTTGCTACATCTACTATGTTCATTTACAAGGAATAAAACCAACCTCTCTTCTTCCAAGGAAAGTTTAAAAATTCACAGGATTCTCTGCCCCTATTACATCTCAACCTACACCAAGGTCAGGCCAGTTATAGTAATACAAAGACAACCTTATTGAAAATACCACCTGTTACTGGAAAAGAGCCATAACTACTCCCAGCCTCACATCTCAAAGTCCTACCCACCCAACTCATTTATCAGTGTTACCAAACAACAAACTTAACATACTATAGCACTTTAATAACAGAGATGGTACAATGACATTTTCCTTCTGCATAACAACATCAGAGCATGCACGTTTATTGCCAAAGTTTTCCTTAAGCTTAATATTTCTGTGATGCTATGTCAGGTTTAGGGTTTCTTTCCTGTGATGCTTCAAAACCAGAAGCTGCATTAAGGGAAAGAGGAAAACCAGAGCAACTCCAGTCACCTGTCAATGTGACAAATGAGACCCAGAAGCAAACAAAAAGTATAAACAGCAATTTTGCTTCAATAATCATAGACTCATAGAGTGGTTTGGGTTGGAAGGGACCTAAAGATCATCTACTTCCAACTCTCCTGCTATGGGCAGACACCTCTCAATAGACCAGGCTGCCCCTTCCAACCTGGCTTGAATGCTTCCAGGGATGGAGCATCCACAATTTCTCTGTGCAACATGTTCCAGCACCTCACCACGCCCACAGTGAAAAATTTCTTCTTAATATCCAAATCTAAGCCTACTCTTAGCTTGAAGCCATTCCCCCTTGTCCTGTCACTACCTGCCCTTTTAAACAGCTCCCCTCCAGTTTTCTTGTAGGTCTCCTTCGGGTACTGAAATGATGTAATAAGGTTACCCTAGAGCCCCCTCTCTCCAAGCTTAATAATACCTATTCTCTCAGCCTTTCCTCATAGGAGAGGTGCTCCATCCCTCTGATCATCTTGGTGTTCCTCCTCTGGACTCACTCCAACAGGCCAACGTCCTTACTCTGCTGGGGATCCCAGAGCTGGACACAGTACTGCAGGTGGGGCCTCACCAGAGCACCACAGAAAATGACCACACACAATTTCTGCAGAAGTCATGCCACTTTTAGCAAGCCCTGCTCTAGAAAATGACCAATTTGATTTTTTTTAAGTAACTTAGAAAACTCCAGTAGTATAGTAGGCCTGAATCTAGGCAGTAACAGCAGTTGAGGTACCACCTATGATCAATAAAAGCCTAAATGACCAATTTCCACACTGCCAGATAAAGAGGAAATCTGCCCTCAAATGTTATGTACTTCAGCGTACTTGCTTGTTCACTATACTTCCTTGCATCCTCTCCTGCTAGAATAAACTATTCAGAGTGTCTAACCAACATGCTCACAGAGAGGATGACCACAGTAACAATATAACATTTTTCCAATCTGATAGTGCCATGACCTAATTTGCTTATACAAATCTCATCTGTTTCAGTCTTCCAATTCGGGTCTTTGTCCTTTACATGGCCATATAGGGCTGGACACAGAGTTATAGCTATCTGGAACACTCAGCCTCACAAACTGTGAGGATTTTTCTCTGTTTGTTCTTGTTTGTTTGTTTGTTTTGTGCAGTTTTGTTGGGTTTTTTTAGGGGGTTGTGGTTTGCTGGTTTGGTTTTGGCTTGGAGTTTTGTTTTCTTTTTAAGCTCTTTCCTCAGTCCCTTTCACCAACATTGACTAACCAGAAGACAAGGAATTTTATGATAGTATTTTAACACATCAATCCTACATTCTCCTTTTCCAAGATGGCTATCACCACCCAGCTACTGATAGCAATCATGATCAGTAAAGACAGGATTCAAGAATCACCACTTCATGTGTGAAGCACAACACATTTCTTTCATCCTGTCACAGATTGATAACAACACCCAGTTGCTTACCTCAGGTCTAAGAGAAGGAAGGATAACAATTTCTTGCAAAGCTTGTTTAGCCAATTCCTGCCCTGCGATATCATCAAATTTGACAGCTGGCCCACTAACAAAGAAATGGAATACTAATTAGTCTAACAATGAGATACTCTTTTTCAGCTGCAGCTGACTAATTTAATGCGCTTGACTATTTATACAGAACTCTTCTAAGAAAACCTACAACTTACATTGCTAAGCATTTAAAAAGAGAAGTATTTCTGAATTGAATGTTTCATCTTTTGCCAAAGTAACAACAAAAAAAATACACCCAAAACAATCCTCCCAAAACCTCTTGACAAACTAGAGGCACTAATTTCATTCCAAGTGGACCAAGACTGTACTGAATGAAAAACTGATTTTCTGCATTGAAAAGCCTAATTTTCTTCAGACTTACCTATCAACAACTTCATTTAGGATAAGATTAGCAAGATTACTGTCCACATTTCTAAATATCTTCATGTCTTTCTTTTTTCGAGGAGCAGGGGTAGGAGTAGAAGGTTTATTTGTTCTGCTGTTTTTAGGAGCAGCCTGGAGAGGGGGAAGGAAAAAACCAAACAAAAAAACCAGATCAATACTTTAAAAGCACAGTGTTAACAAAACAACTTCTACATTTCTTTCGCTCCAGTAGAACATAATACATTAACAAATACCAGATATTCTGATGCTGTATTTTGCTACAAATCATATTATCACATTCAGCCATGGGTAGAACACCTTAGGCTCCAGTGGTGAGGAGTCTTTGGTTTGGGGTTTTTTTGTTTGATAATTCATTATATTTAACTACAGTATTGTCCCTCAGCATATTCTAGAAATAAGCATTACAAACAACTTCAGATCCTCCATACTATGAGCAAGAATTTCTACTGCTGGCATATTTTAATAACAGGTCACTTAAAAGCCTTCATATTGTAGTAGCAATAACATTTTAACCACTTTTATGTTCAGTCCATTCTGCTCTTTATTTTACTTTACTGTAGGAGGAATGGGGGTGGGAGGGTGATAAGGATGGAAGGGAAAAAGATGGGTCAACCGAAACGCTGTATTTTTCTGTATTCTTAGGATAGGACATATTTTTCTGTTTCAGTCACAACCTAACCATAACTTGCTTTTCAATACAACCTGTGCATGCATGAATGCTTTAGAAGAGTAGGAACTCACAGAGGGAAAAATCTGTAGTTCTGGAATAAGATGTTTTTTCCCCACTATCTTTACATACTGCTATTTATTTTCCCCCTAGATAGCCTTCACTCTATTTCCCATGCAATTTTGAAAACAAGTATTATTTATTACTGTCATTAAATTTAAAATCCATTTGCCCATGCACCCACTCAATGTCCCCCAGTTTCTGAAATCCATTCTACAACCTAGCTCAAGAGGCTTGGCCAAAAAATGTAGGGGTTTCAGGTTTTTTTCAAAACTTTCTGCTGCTACGACACTGCAATAAAGGCATTAAATCCACTGTTCATTCTGGAACTTACATTCATTTTTCAGTAGTATACTCCTGTGTTTATCCTCACCATACCTTGTGAGTTGAAGCTGCAGAATTGGGTGCTGGTCTAGACACAGATGATGATGATATCCCACTGTAGCTGGGCGTTCTATGGTGACCTGAAAGGCCTGTGGATCCGGTTTTTGCAACAGTTTTTGAACGAGGAAGCGAATTACTTGTGTGTGTTAAGGGATCCTTCTTTTTTGGAACTGCTCCACTTTCTATAAAGAAAACCAATGTAATAAGAACATTTGCTGCAGTCATATTTTTACCGTCAACTCTAACTTGAAGACAGAATTATTGAAACATGTAATACAGTTTTATAGAAGAATAACGCACATTTCTAAAGAGATTTAGTACTTTTAGGGGGATATTAACTGCTGCTTTCACCTAAAGTTAAGATTTGAAATTTTAGGAGCTCTCAAAATGAACACTAGTTAGCCATCTTAGAAAAGCCAGAGATAACTGAGTCCTTTTATTGAGAGATGAACGCCATCTATGCCTTACAATGCAAAGTCTTCTGGCTTGTGTTCTGCCGCCTTCTTTCCAAAGAACTCCTAAAATTATCATTATAATCATCCCCAAATTTCAAGCATTTAGATTCAGAGCATTCATTCCTTAAGTGGTGTTAGCAGGCTTCTTACTTTGGATTCCAGCTAACACTATCCAGACCTTCCACACAGAGGCGTCACCAAGGCATTTTAAATTGGGAATACTAAAATAGTTATACCTGCAAGCAACTGTCAGGTGTTTTTTCTTACAACTTTCTTTCACTCAATGGGTAAGTAAATTCTAAATGGACAGCTCTGAAGCAGCTTACCTTCCTACATTTAAAATTAAGTCTTAAAATATATTATACCATTGATTTAAACACCACCAAACGTTCTATTCACACTACTAATTCACCTCAAGGATGAAGCAGTGAAGTCTCAGTTCAGGTGACAGAGAAAAACTTAAAATATTGGCCCCAAGCCATCACACTACAAGAGGCCATTTTGGTCTAAACAAAATAGCACTTGATTTCTACATTCTCCATATGGGATACAAGATAAAAAGAAGTTTTTTAGCACAGAAACAGCAAGTGTAAAACATCAAATCAGAGACTAAGATTAGAACATCCTACAGCAAGCAGGCAGGTTGGTCAGGTTGGTTAAGGATTAGAGAACAGCATTAGATGGGAGACTTTTTGTAGTGGGAATACACTACTGGAAACTGTCTAGTACAGTACTGTTGTCTGCAATGAAAACTGTAAATACTGTCTTATTTTATATCCTTTTTAAAGGACTGAGGAACCTTTTGATTAGATAAGAGAAATATGGTTTCAGAGGTAAGGAAGCTCAAGATGGATTTCAGCTACAAGTTTCTTCACAAAGTTTTTAGAAATCTGCAACTCAATTTGATCTGTTTTAAGGAACAGGCCAAAAACCTCTGATTTTTAAGGAAATTAATGACTGAAGTATTTTTAACATAACATTGCAATTCAGTGAAAAATGCTTTAAGTAAAAAGGGTCGTAATTTTTAATGCTGTGCTTAAAAAATTCATAGAATACTTTAGTGAAACAGTATCATGGAAGGATCAATTAACTACTACCATGTTCTCAGCCTCTTTAAACATACTACCAGGAGCAAATCTCTACACAGCCTGCAGGTATCCTTAACTACCTGGCTAGAAGGTTTCTAAAGCCTTTGTTCCATCACAAATCTACTCCTTTTTAGAGTTAAAGAAATTCTACAGGGGTCATTGTAAACAATGCAAATATATCAATATGCAAAAAACAAGGGAACTTGAAGCATAGAATTAAGTATATTTACCTGTAAGATATTTCTTGAAAAAAGAAAACAAAAAACCACCCAAAACAAAACAAGAAAAACCACCAAAACTGGCTACTGATTAAATCACACACAGCTCCAGAGCTGGTTAAATTTACTTAGTCATTCCTACACAGGAATTTCCAAGTCAAAAACTCTTTAGTCATACTCAGTAACTTTAAAGTTCAAAAAGCAGCATATGAATCTATTAAAACATCTAGCTACTCAAAACTTTGACTGGCCCAATTTAATCAAAAAGTGGCACTCAGTTTTGTTGTGTCTTTTTTTTCCTCAACCTCATTTGCACAGCTGGCTTAAAGTCAACATGGGAAGGCTTCAAAAAGCCGAAGTAGTTTTTCTCCATCTCCTTCACCCCAACCAGTTGCTCAGTTATCACACTTTCCCAGAACTACGCCCTCCTATTGAGAATAATACACAGACACTGCAATTTTGAGGATCATAAAACTGCACATGTAAAGAGTATTTCAGGAAGTAGGAAATACAAGGGGAGAAAGAGGGGAAAAGAGAAAGGTTTAAACACAAATTATGATTTACTGTAGCTGTACCTCCAGGACTGAAGACTACTAAGTTTACATATGTTTTGTGGTCAGTCCTGATGGGTAGCACACAAAGAAGCGCCGATGAACAGCTCTGGAACATAATTGTTTGTTCAGTATCAACTCCAGAGGGAAACTTCATTTTATATACAAATTGTCATTGAACCAACAAATAAAAATGTGATCAAATTTTTCAGAATTACTGTTTATCAAAAGTTTCCCTGTTTCTAAAGTGTGAAGTGTTTAAGTGCACGTCACCTGTCAGATAGCTCTCACTGTTTCATTATGCAAGATATATATTTTGCTGTAACAAATGCAAAAGCCCCAAAACACATTCCTTACCCATTTGTATTTGTCGCCTACTGAAAGACTGAAAATACAGAGCAAGTGACCTTAAAACTTTCACAATATCTCCAGCAGCCTTTTGCCAAATGTTTCACTGTTTTGTTTAAGTAAGTTCTAATGGCAAAGAGACACCATGGTATTTTTTCAAGCGTATTTGAAACACTCAGTAGTTCAGTTGTGTATTTCATATATACTTACAGGACAGTAATAGGGGCTTGATCAGTTTGATGTTACTCTCTAATTCTGGACAGAATTTACTTTAAAGCTCCAAGTTAACACCACTGGATTACACAGACATAATAGCTGTCTGGTCCTGAAAGCATCCCTGCGATTTTAATCTGCCATCCAAATATATACACAACACAAACAAATTACAAACAAGCAAGTAACAAAATTTTGTCTGGGGTTTTCTATTGGTTAAATTTTGTTAAGCTGCAGACACAGGTGCCAATTTCAGACTCCCTTCCAAAGAGAAATGTTAAAATTACATAATATATTTATTATATTAAACTGGTTTTAAAGATAAAATAAAGTATGGATATGTTTGAGCAATTTTAAAAGAAGCTTGATTATACTAAGTGCCTGGAAACACAAAACCAATCTGAAAAACATGCAGCTGTAACTCATTTATTTAAAAAATATAACAACATGCTTTATATTTCTAAAAAGTGAACCAATTATATTTTCTTTTGTGCATTTAAACTAGATTAAAGCAGATCTTAATAAAGAAGTTTCTACTAGTCTATAACCTTTTAAGCATCCAAGAGAAAGTTTTAATTAAAATTAGCAACAGCAATTCCAGTATTGCAGAACAATTTCCAGCCTTTAGTTGTGACACCTTAAATATCATCAGCAAATATTCCTCAGAAATTCTTTACATATCCCTATTGATAACCAATGTAAAGTGACTAAGCGGAGTTATTGTACATGGTCTGTGGACCTCACACTGGGAAAAAAAACTTCTCCAGTCTAGAATTGTCTGTGACTTTATGTAAGTAATTATTAAAAAAAAAAATAATCTTTAACTGTTTTAAACTTGCAGCAATTGCAAGACTGATCATCAGGATTAGCATTCACAATAGCCCTCAAAACAGCAATTATTTCAAATATTCTATTCAGATTTTTCAAATAGGTAGAGTCAAGTAATAAAAGCTACCTAACAGAAAGCTTCAGCAACTAAGAAGGACATGTTCCATATTTTAAAATGTAGTACAGCTGCCCAGGTCAGAAAGACAGCTATTCTTCTTTTTGAACTGACAGAGTCTTACCAGTCAGATCTGCCATTGCCAAATTATAGTATTAAAAATTACTTTATTGCTACTTTTTCTTCTACTTGGGAAACTCCTTAAAAATTCAGTATTAGTAGAACTTTTGCACTTGGATAAACATTGCCAATATATGTCTACTATTAAAGACTAGCCAGCAAATCCTTCATGTGAAAACTGAGGTAAAATACTAGCTAGCTGCACAGTGTTCATGTTGTAGTACATAAGAGAAACTTAATGCATTCTCTGATCATACATCCTGCTGAGATTTACATGTTAAATGTAAAATGGTACACTGGGATTACTGTAATACTATCAGTACTGTATGCCCAGTAAATGAGTCAGTCCATAAAACTCAAACTCTGCCTTTGACAAGACTGGCACAATCTCCTTTCCAAGCCCATTTAAAATCAACATCTGTAAAGACTTTGGCCTGTAAAGGCAAATGAAAGAAAGCAAAGCAATTTTAGACCAAAGAACTGGCAAAAAGGCACTTCCTTGATATTAAAACTAAGAATGACCATGTTTCACACTTCATAAAATCCTGGACTTTTAAAAAGCTCATTTTTTAGGCAACAGCACAGGTAATACTTTATGTAGACAGAAAACTAAGTCTACGCCAGTGCCCTGCTGCTCAGTACCTCTGAAGTACCTCTACTGTTTCTCAATAACAGCAGTTCTCTTATCTGAAGTAGCCTGTAAACTGATTTTGTACAGCTTCCTAAGAATTTGTCATCTAGTTTGTGGTTTTGAATTATTGAAGCTACCTGTGTGAAAATACCATTTTCCATGTATAAAGGAAGAACAACACCAAGATGATTAGCACATTGAAGCACAATCAATATATTACTTTTAAGAAAAAAGTGTAGTAGCAGCATGTTCTTACAAGCAAGGTTCCCTCCTCCCACACCCCAAAAAGAGAGACACAAAAAGCAAGCACAACAGCACAGGTACCAGCCAATTAAGAAATTCAGACAACTGTTAATAGGCAGACTTTCGTGGTACTGTCAGGGACCCACAGCTGCGTGAAAAGTTCAGTACTTTAGGTAATGATCTGACTTCCACAAGTTATAAATCTAAAGTCTACCTTTGGCAAATGGAAATGGAACAAGCCTCTTGAAATCAGTGATCAGTAGACGTCTGGTACCTAATTTTTTTTTTATGACCTGCTCTTGAGCCCTTCTGTCCCTCCTCAGATCCCGTGGAGTTTGGTACATGACCTCTGTTAGCCCACACTCCTTTTCAGAAAGTGAGAAGACTCTCAGAAAAATGCACTCCCAGAAGGCCATGGCTCTTTGCAGTCATTTCACTGCCGTTTCCTTCACAGTTTTGCAAAAAAGTGGTTCGTCTTCTCTAACTCACCTGGAGTATGACTCCAAGTGGGTAAATTGACTCATATCACTTTCCATAAGTTTACCAACAGTGACCACCTTCTGCTACAGTAACTTCTGTGAATACAAATGCCTGCCCAAGAACTGGCAAAATATTTCTTCATTTCCAGCAGATGCCTATGAATATTCTATGCTTTGTTACTAACATATTAAGTAAAATAACAGTTTTAAGAGTGAAAGTTCAGTCTAACCTTCTCCTGCAGTATCCAATTCTGAGACACATTGAGACAAAGGTACAATAAAATATTACAAAAAGAGTTTAAAGAAAAAGCTGTTCATATTAAATAGAATATGTTATCAACTTTTGTGTGTCTATGTATGCACTTGTTCATTCAGTCTCTAGCCAGCCTGCTAAAAAGACAAGAGTTGTTCTGGATCATTTAAGGTAGAGAGTTGTCAACGTCCATGTACCTAAGAACTTACACCGACGAGCCATTTTAACTACACTTTTTTCACAAATGCAGTTAAACAAAAATACCACACATACAGTAATGTAAAGGTGCCTAACTTGACACAGTACTTTAACTTCTTATACCTTGGAAAGAATAAAACCAAACAGTAAGATGACTTCAGAACTAGAAACAGATCTAAAAAAAAAAAAAAAAGATAACAACAAAAACCAAACAGAAGAAAAGCATGTGGTATACACTAAGTTTCAGTTTTCTTACTTTAAAAACTGAATACTGCTCTTGACTCAGTTAGACAAGCCTTATGAATTCCGATGCTTGTTAGCTCTCTATTTTATTTAACCTCATTGTAGTCTACTGTATGAATTACCAGTTGAAATCACAGTTATGACAAGAGCTTACTGCTGGCTTAAAACACTCACCGAAGGCAATTCACAAACCTCACAGTAGCTTTACTCTTTCTGTATGGAGAAGCAAGTTTACTTCTGCTACTTTAGTATACCTGGTTGAGTCTCCTGGGAAAGGATTTAAACAACGTTCTTTGACAAAACACAAGAGCTGTTGTGGTCCCCCCCGGTTTTAACTGTGTATCACTTTCTCAGTGTAAAAAACCCTGAAATTTAAAGTAGCTTACTGCAAATGCACATTCACTCTCACAATATCATAAAGGAAGAACTATCTATGTAGGCACAATATATAACCCACATATCCAACGTTGACACTTCCTAAAACAGGTTTAAATTAATTCCTTGAAAAATATAACATGAGAAATATTTTCAAAAATGTTGTTTTAGTAAATAGTTTTGAATTCTAAGACAGTCATTGTAAGAGAACTGAATACTACAAAATAAAACAGTGTTGTCAAAGCCATGGAAAGGATGGGATGTATTTTATACAAAGCTTTTAAAACCAGAAATATAAACAATTTTTCTTTAAAGTTAGTGGGACCCGAACACAGCATTGCATTATTTTTCCCTGTAATACAGCAGAAACTGAGAGACATCCCCTCAATAGGTGCTGGTAAAACCAAACCCACCTGACTGGAGATGTCCATTGCGGCATGCCAGGTTAGTACTGTCATTATAGACCTCCATTTGCGGCTTGGAAATTTGCAAAACTGCCTGCAGCTTCTCTACATAGTAGACAGAGGGGGGGGGAGGAAAAAGGATAAAATAAACAAACAAAAACCAAAAATGAACCAAGAAAATTTATGTATGTTGAACACACAAATGTCAAGTTTGGCTTTGTTATAGTTAAAGATAAAAGGAATATTTCTAACTATTCTACAACGTTTAGCAAACTTGTAAGAAAATTCTGTTAGTGCGAGCATGACTGAAAACAGCTTTAAAACTCACCATTTACGGCTGAGTTAAATACAACAATCTTTCCATGTCTACTGATTGTGGTTACTTTTCCAAAGCCAAGTTCATGATTGAATCTATTTACTTTACTAAATATTTGTGTTGATAACCCATTTCTCAAAGTCCTCCCCAAGGTGTTACTTTTGACCAACTGCGAGGAGTCATCACCTCCTTGCATATTAAATGTTTCACTTAAGTAGTAACAGCCAGTAAACATTTTACAGAAACCTCAAACTTCAAGCAAAACAACATATATACACTACAATTATATATTTTAGGATCTCTATTTAGAAATATAACTGCTTAGAAATTACGTCAATAAAACTGTCATGCAAACTATTCTTTAGGAATATTAACCAAAGAAATATCTGAATACAACACTTATAAAGTTAAAGATTAAGGAGAAAGAAATTAACTCTGAGAAGAATGAACACCAGCCAAACCATAAGCAAAAGAGGTGTAAGGCTTTTGAAAAGAACACAAAAAAATAATTAAGGACTACTTGTTCTCTGCAGCTCAGCTACCACTCCTGCTTTTCCCACTGCAGTTTAAAACCTCTAGACCTTATTTTTGAGGCACTTTACTGCCTCTCCCACCTTTATTTCACAAAAATCCTCTGGTTTTAAAATCAAGATATGGTTTGTAAGAATGCAAGGCATACATTGCCAAGCTCTTGTTCCCTTCCTCTTTTTTTTTCTGCTCACCCCCAAAAGATAATAGTACCAAGAAGCTGCAGGAAAAGAGATGGCCAAGTAGAAGAGCAATGTCCTCTGGCAACATAAAAGCACATACTGCAAAAGCAGACAAATTCCTGAAAACGTGCACACTCAAGATAATAAATGTCCTGACTGAAGGAAGAACTGCCATTGCAGATCATTGCTTGTAGATCATACAAACAAGAAGCATGAACACTTCCTTCTTTATGTTTCTTTATCTGTTACAGATCTTTCTCCAGTTTTTCTGCTTCATTCCTTTCTTCTTCCTGCTCCTGATCATTCACTGTTTTGCTTCCCTGAATAATATATTTACACCTCATAATAACGAGGCTTAATAATAATATTCAGATGGAACAAGATAAGGTTTAGGTGAAAACTTAGAAGCCACAGGCAAATGCAAAAAGCTTAAGTTCAAGATTAACACGTGCACCAAGGTTTAGTTTTGTTTTAAATTGAAAGCATTGAAGAGTCGGGCACAGTAAAACAAAAAATATTAGTCACACAAGAATGGCCTACAAACAACCACAAGCTTTGCAACTTCCAAGAAGTTACCCTAATAACCTTTCCTCCGTAGAGGTGTAAGGAAAGTCCTTTAAGCACAACTGACTGCAAAGACAGTGCACCATTTTAGTGGATGCAGCACTACCAAAGGAGACAGCAGAATGGTCTACTCCCTGCCTGGTGCATGCAATCAGAATGGACAGTTCATACAGAAGCTTATGAAGCACAATTAGTGTTAACAGACTTTCTAAGATACTAGATAATCAGTTATGTTTTGGAGAACATATCTGCATTTTAAAAAAAAAGCTTTCTAGTGGGGGACTGTAACAACATCAACTGGTCTGGGCAAGAATTCAGGAAATGCTATTTGCTTCAAAGCTACAATTTGACACTGAGGCTTTCCTACAATTATCAACAGCTCAGCTAGTTCTACATATTCAGGAACTCCAGAACTCCAATGAAAAAAAAAAAAAAGTGTAATCCAAGTGTTGTCCAGTTTCAGTTCATGCACTGTCTTTTCATCACACTACATATTAACATGTAATTTTGGTATTGCATATAAAATCAAAAAAAAAAACCCATATCATTTTTCTTTAGTGACAGTGTAGCTGTAAGGTCCTATAGAATATCAAAGATAAATTAGGTTATTAAATATTATTCCAGGGAATTAACAGGACACCATCACCTTCCATGTAAAAGCTTTCTCCCTCTGCCTCCAGACATTGAAAAAAAAAGTTTACAGAATCTCATTCATTATTTCTCCTTGATGATACAATGCTGACACAAACCTACTAAATAAACAGCACTGCAGCCATTGTCTTAGTTAGACAACACCAGACCTTGAGTTCAAGGTAACTCATTTCTAATTAAAAAAGGTCATCCTATAACACAAGCCTGAAGCAAAAAACACCATTGCCTCCAAGACAGTGGAGGACCCCAAAACGTGTCCATTGAAGCCCCTATGTATACAAGGGCAGCATTGAGGAGTATCAATATCCTCCAAAGAGGATTCTGATGAAAGATATTTGAATTATGTGCCATGTGCACCCTTCAATCAAAATACTGAAGCTATGCATAGTACACACAAAGGCACTTGTGGTGACAAAAGTCTGTCACCCTTCGGAAAGTCTCTCTGAAATAGAGAACACAAATAGGTAAAATACAAATAGCATTAGAAGAGAACAGTATTGCACTGGACACTGTGGTTCTCTATCTTTAGGAACAACAAACTGCTGAGTTCTGTGTATCTGACTGCAGAAAACAAATATCCTCCTGTCATTCTAAATATATCAAATATAATGACCAACATGAGTGATAAGTTATCCAGGAGAGATCAGGTCTGTGAAGACCATCAGAGCAAGATTTAGCCACTCATCTGAGTAAGCACACAACTAACACACCCAAAACCATGTCAAAAACGGGGGCTGCCACCAATGCAAATGGTAGAACTTGGAAGTCCCCTGACAGCTGGCATCACCCAATACTGTCAGTGCACTGACAAAGTGTCCAAGTCACCCTGAGGTGCCCTGAAACACACCAGTAGCAACTTCAGCTTCCAGACTGTGTCATATTACAGCTTCAAACAGAGTAAGATACAGAAATTTAGACTCAAAATGAAAACAGGGCTCAAAATAGAAAACCCATCAACCAAGGTAAGTAGCTCCACCCTCTTGCAACATTAAAAGGCACTAGTGGTGTGATGACACATGGTGATAATACACGTGCGTGATCAGATATCACACTCCTGTCAGTGGGGTCTTGCAACTTAAACTTGTGCTGATGTACAGACATGCTTCAAAAAAAGATGAAGACACTGAGCACCTCCAATGGGCAGTTATAATCCGTATGATTTAATTTTCACTTTCTATGTATTACCAATGTAACTTGATTGACTGGATGGCATTTCAGTTAAGCAGACTCTGTCTAGCAGGCGGGATGAAATATTTCGTGTTATTGTCTACTTTAAGTTTGTTTTATCCTGTCTGCTAATGCAATAAGGGACTTGCCTATTTTGCCTCAAGAAATGGAGAAATTCCACATGGCTAGAGGAAAACACTTACTCTCTCATCTTATGAGTTGAATTCATAGGAAAAATCACTTTATGAAGCTTAAGAGCTTCGAGAGCCTCATGTTCAGTTCAACTACAAAAGGTTCTCTATGCCACTTAAAAATTCCAAATATCTGTTACTATAAGTAAAAGGTTAAAAGCTATGTTTAGAACTGCACAGGTAATTAAACTCTAAATCACCTTAAATTTCCAAAGACTCCATGTAAAATTACATAGAAAGTAATAAAAAGAGATGCTGTCAAATACTTGAAAGTTGGTTAGATGGTATAAATATACTACTCAAATAGATCCACAGTGATCAAACTCGCAGGGAATTAAATCCATTAGAATATCTCTCCAAACCACATCTTTTTCCTTCCTAAAGGGCACATGATTTCACTCACTCTTTTTTATCCAAATTTTGCTCTCAGGTACATTGTTTGAATCAGATCCTCAGTGCAAACCAAACAAGAACCTAGGCAGAATAAAGTACTACATTTCTGATAATATAAAAGTAAAAATAAAATAATATTTTACATCAACTTACGGAATAAACACTGTTCCATCTGTCTACCTTTCAATCTGCACTCTCAATGAAGCAAACAAATAGTATGTGATAACATGTCCAGATCAACGTACTTCAACTTTAGGGGTTTTTGTGATGTTTACCCTTTTTTCTTTTCAGTCAGATCACAGTAAGTGATAACACAAGCAATGATGAAGCAATACCCACAAAATACAGACTACTGTTACTTCAAGTTTCAAAGAACTGCAAATTTTTTAAAAGAAATTCTAGTTACTTGCAACTAGGATGTTTGCAACAAGCCATATTTTATCAAAGACTGTTAGCATGTAATCACTTTCTGTCTATTGTTCCCTAGTTTATATTACCTCTAGAAGTCCACCTTTAACCCTAAGAAGTAGAAAATATCTTTTTTGCACATACCAAGGTTGCACCAACAAACATCCATATTAGAGCACAGAAGCCACGTGCCTCTTTAACCCCATTTCCCTTCAACTTTTTACAAAAAGTTCTAAGGACACCAGGAACTCAAGGGAAACAAAAGAGACTCACTTTCTTGTGGTTGTCACAACTTCCCTGTCAATCACCAGTTAGGACTACAGTCACAAAGCATATGAGGAGAAAAGAACACGAACTTTCCTGTCTGCTCTTTATGCTCCTAGGAAAATGACTTAGAAGAGCACCAAACAACAGAGTGCAAGATTAAAGCTGCAGATATGCAAGTTAAACTGACATACATTTGTTAGTTCACCCATAGAAAGCAATTTAAAAAAATCATCTTATCTTCATTTTACTGACTGAACTGAAAGCATTTCCCAAGTTTTCAGTTTAGAGGATGCACTGCACAAAATTGTGGGTTTGTTGCTTGACAGGGGGATCTGCGCCTGTTTATCAGGCACAGTAAGATGCAATTTCCAATCCTGCTTGTTTCACTCTTTCCATTAAGAGCTGATATAGAGTGCCTAATTTTAATAAAGTTAAAACTATACAACACCATGCTTCCGAAAAGCACCTTACCTGCTAGTCTTAAAATAGAACACTACTAGAAAAAAAATTAAGGGAATTAGCATTTCACAACCTTATGGTCTACACAATGCTAAAGAATTACTATTATATATAAATAGCAAGGCAAAATGTTGTGTTAAATGACAGTAAAATTAACAGAAGATGAAGTAGTTACACTTACAGGAGGCACACTTGGCACTCATGATCATCAATATTTCAAGTTTTACTACAGTTCCAATGTAAAAATCCTAAATTTCAACAAGAGTTGAACAAGACTTCCTGACTTTATGAGTCAAGTGTACTATGACAAAGACTTTCCAGTTACTTTTATACCTGAAATTCCATTTTTAAAATGCATCAACAGCACTTACTCTAAACTAAAAACTAAAGAGACCCTACACAGATAATGACTCCTTCCCTTTAAAAATCAAAGTAATATTTTAGAAGAATGCATTACATGAAGTTGTGCAAATAATTACAAACTTTCCAAAGTCATGAATTGTAACTGGTACCTAAAAGCTGCAAGCGATCCTTGGCCATTGCCAAATTTGTCATCATTTTAGACTGGAGACGTCGAGCCCGTTCACACTGATCACCTTACAAAGAAAAATCAACGTTAAAACACAATTTGGCAAAGAAACTTTAAGTGCTAAAATACTGATACCCAGTCTTCCCTCCTCTTCCTCCCACCCCTAATCTATTCCCTCCGCTAAGGAACTTTGTTACAAAACTAATGAAAAAAATTCTAAAGTTTCCTGTTTAATCAAGAATTTAGAGTTAGTTGACTCTATCTGCTTCACAGTACTGCTCATAGAGCTGTGGTAACCCAAACATTGCTTTGCATCTAGTCTAACATTTCATGCTGACCTAATATACATTTTTTGTCACTGCATTTCTCTGAAGAGAAGTCAAATAAAAAAAGATTTTTACAAAGCTTGAAAAGTGACTGAGAGGCAAGTACAATTAAAAAGATCTCACTTTGGCAAAATTAACAGATTTAAATTCAGTTGACTGTGTCCCTTTACATTTCAAAACACACAGAATTAGACATTAATGTCACTACTTCCTAAGAAATACTGTCTGTCCAAGTCAGTTTTTTTTTAAACTGTGCAATTTACACAGGTTGTATCAGATGCCACTGGTATTGCCCTGTAAGTAACGTCACCATACACTTCTAAACATAGCTGAGGAATAAAATAGCAGTCTGCAAAAGCACTTACAGGTTTGGGGTTGGGGCAGGCGATTTGAGTTATTATTATAATTACAGTATTATTTTGAGGACAATTTCTTAGCAAGTCCTTCACTACATCTGTTTCTCTATGGTACATACCTGCTTCTGCACTACAGGTTAAAATGGTTCCATATATAGAGATGGCTTTTTTTGTTGTTGGAAATGTTCAGCTACTTTGGCCTAAGCTACTCAGAAACACAATATCAGATCATTCCAAATCGGGGGGTTTGTTTTTAAGTTATACTGAAGGGAATATAAAATTCTGCATAAGTGAGAACATGAACTGTCAACTTTGGCAAATCAAATCAGAACTCGGTGTTTCAGCATTCCCATTATATAAGAAATTAAGTGTTTTACTTTAGGATTTTCATGAACTGCTTATGATTTTGGAGAGTCTGAAAATATTTGGAACAAAATTTGCATGTGTTATAGACATAGAACAGAGAAATGGACCAGCGTTCACCTACGGCTAAAACAAGAATAAGAAACACTCTTATGAATTAATTCATACAGTAGACCATTCCTAGCACCTACCATATTTAGCAATATTGATTTCTCACTTTGAAGAACTCATAAACCAAAATCTGTTCCACAAAACTCAAAACTGGCTTACCTTGACCAATTACTAAGACAGCTATTCCTTTTTCCAGTTCTTCAATTCCTTTCTTATACCATTCAACAGCTTGTTCCTTTTGTCCTGCTTAAAAAGGAAGTGAACCCATTATTTTCTGTAATGAATTAAAGCTTAGGAATGGTTCCATATAATGCTGCATAAAACAAGTAAGAGGGAGGAAGAGATATTTTAACAAAATCCTATTATTTAAAGAAACTCTTAAAGGGACACTGTCAACTTTATATCTACTTAAGTTTCAAGTAAGATTTTCTATTAAAAACAGGTACTACACCAGCCTCAAATCACTTTTGCCTGTTTTAAGAATAATTCTTCATCTGCCTTAAAAAGATAAATCCCCTTAAAAACCAACCAACCAACCAAACAAAACAAGGTAAAAAAATCTCACCTATACAAATTCACTCACAACAGAAATGGTGAAATTAACAGGTTTTGTTTCTGGAACAGCAAATAGAGATGGACTTCTTAGCCATTCAGTGATAGATTATATCAATACCAAAGTAACACTAGAAGCATAGAGGCTCAAGAAGAAAAGCAACAAGTCTAAGACACTACATGGGTGAGATGAGACGCTTCTCCTCTGGTTAACTTTTGTATAGAGCGGCTCTTTTGCCATAAGGGTATTTCTTTGTTTATCCTATTATGAAACTGCTGTACTGCAGGTGTGTGTCAACTTTAACACAAAGTACAATGCAAGTAGAATTAAGAGTACACCTCTGTACCAGCCACATCCTAAATGGGTATTACAGCAAATATAACCATGAACATGGCTATGCCTAACCTATGCTACGTGACACCATAACAGCAAGTAAACCACTGAAGACCTATTAATATCTACTCCATATTGCTCCCCTTCCATAAATACTCTGCATTAAAAGGTATTTGCCTGCATATGGAAACACACTTTTGCAAGGTAGTTATGTCACACTAAGCATACCTTTCCACAGAGGAATATAGCACATTCTGTATTACAAGTTAAACCTGATCAGCTGCAAGCAGTAGAAAAAACCAAAAATGCCTACAATGAAACCTTCAGATATCACTACTCTAGTTTCAGATGACATTACATTTCACAAAACTATTCCTAAGTGCCAGTTACCAGTGATTGTGTTGGTTCCACACTCAAATCTTTTGATGACTTCAGTCTCAAACCTACTTTTTAGCAAATTTATTTTGTAAAAATATTTCAATACATTTCTAGAATCCTCTTCAGAGTTTTCTCTTGCTCCTCTCCAGAAGCAAAATCTTATAATAATAACATTTAGCAAGATTCCCTGTGCAGGTAATTTCATGCTTTGCTCTTCTTACCAACACAAAGCACAGGAGCACCTTCCTACAGTCACGAACATTGCACACCCTGGGAATCATTTTATTACTGCCCTTTCTTCACCACCTCATATATCCTGACTGTTAAGGACAAACCTAGAGAAATCAAATCATTGAAGCTGAGTGACTTCAATCCTCTTTTTAGCCTTTTTTTTACTTTAAGCTTCTTCTCCCCATCACCCATAGAAACATTTTTGACTGCAGTGTAAATCTAATGCTGATTATAGCAAATAGAAATCAAATTTGCCATGATCCCAGCCTCCTCTGCTATTGCCTGACTTCCTTTGCTACTCTGAGTATCTGCTGCAAACATGCCAAGGTCATTAAAATTTCACTTCCAGCTTATAAATGGACAAAGTTTTAAAAGCACTATACCACAGCAAGCTGTTTGCAAAATTTGTGCTCCGACTCCACACGGAATGCTTTACTAGTTTTCAGTGATTCTGACATTAAAAATACAATAAATGTCACATTTCTTGGAAGTCGCTGATCAGCTGTATTGGGTCTGGCTGGAATGGAGATAATTTTCTACAGACAGTCCAAATGCTGCTGTGTTTTGGATTTGTGACTAACACGGTGTTGATAACAGAGAATTGGTTTGGGTATTGCTTGAACAACATAACCTCAAGGTTTTCCTTTTCCCACACTAGATTCCCAGTGAGTAGGTTGGAGGTGCACAAGAAGCTGGGAGGGGACACTGGTAGGATGACTGACACAAACTGGCCTAAGGAATATTCTGTATCAGACTATATAATCCTCATCAATAAAATCTTGCGTAGGTGAATAACTGGATGGGGGCTGTCTTCCAAGGCAGCCATTGCTCAATAAGTTTTCTCACTTTTTTTTCTAACTTTTGCTCCTCCTATGCTCTTCCCTGTCCCAGTGAGGAGAGGAAACAAGCAGCTGTATGGATGCTTAGCTGAGGGCAGGGGTCAACCCAACACATGTACCTTCTCAGTCCCAGAAAAAGATATTAAGCTTGATTGTGAAAATATCAAAACAAGAATAACTGCCACAATAATTCAGATGCACAAAAAATTACCAGAAGTGCTATCAAAATTACTGAAGTCTGCATAGCTTCCACAACAGCAAAAACACCACATAACTAACAGGACGTTAGACAATTCAGAAATTCCAACCATTTCACACACTATGCCTAACATACGGTTTTCTGGTGGAAGCTTTAAAAAGCTTATTTACACATTGAAAAAAAAATAAAATCAAAGATAGACATATATTCCTGCAAAAACAGATAAGGAAATAGCAAATCTATGCATTAAAGCAAAGTGAGTTCTTTCTCAGTGAAATGTATACTGCAATTGCAGGGCTGTAACAGCTGTGCAACTGCTCCCATCAGCAGCAAAAATGATCTTATTAGATGTATGACCTGTGCAGCTAATTCATATACAATAAATCTAAAGCTATCTACAGAGCAAGTCCGGGATTAAAACTGATATTTAAGGGCTTAACCTCCAAACCACCAACAGTTATAGGTCACAACAGGGGAACAGGTACCTGATAATACAAGACTTGGCTACTCCTCACAGAGCAATCATCAACAACACTGAAGCTTTAAGTTACCTTACCTTCTTTCATGCTTTGCTCCTATGACCCTCAGTGCTCTCTCACTGTACATCTGTTCTGAACTAATCTTACTGCACATGGTAGGGGTTTTTTTTCTCTCCCAGAGCTTGCCACTGCCACTCCCAAATTGTCAACGCAAAGCAAGACACATCCCTCGCTTTTATGGTGCTCTCAGCATGTAGCTTCTATTGAAGGCCTACTCCTCTATTTTTAATGACCTCCTCCAAGACAGCAGTTTCACTAAAGCTCACCTTAAAAGTGTAGAATAAGGTATTCCAATGTTTCCAGAGAATTTTAAAAAACAGCACAGCATGCCCCTAAAGGCCTGCCTTTTGGCTGCTGACAGAACTATGCTGCTGTGTTTAAAGTAAATGGCTAAATCAAATGCAGTAGCAAATGTTTTTTGTTTTTTAATGCTCCAGACAAAAAAAAAAAAAACCAACAAAAAACAGAAACACAAAACATAAAAACAAGTACCTCACTCCTGTGTTTTATTTACCTGAACCCTAAACATCTTCCTTAAGATCCTCTGGTCACACTGTGATAGGTTTTTAGGTTTTTCAAGAGTGTGTCAAACAGCTTAAGCAAAACATTAAAAAAAAAAAAAAAACTGTCAAAATACAAATAAGTATTTCTTTCTTTAAAAGTCAAGACAACTCCAAATGGGCATTTTGGGGGTCAAGTTTCCTGGAGACTTGCTTCAGCACTTGCATCATTTGTCAGGCAGTGTATTAAAGGATGCACCCTTATTATTGTCCTTGGTGCTTTTGTTGTCCGGCGGGCTTGCTGAAACCCAAGGCTTGTTAGTCACGTATCCCGTCTTTCGCCCCAGTTTTTCACCGCTTCACCCAGACCTCCGCGGCAAAAACTTTATTGGGGCGAAATACAAGGGCCTGCATTGCGTGGGGAACGAACCCGAGCCGCAGCTTTTTGATCCAACCTGCAGCTGCCAGGGCCAAAGCATCGGCCACCGCATGCGGGCACGGGCGGGCAGCGGGCACGGCACACTCCGCGCTCCCTCCCGCACTGACCCCCCCGCAGGCCGCATCCATCACACGAGCGGGTTTTGTTTGTCCTCAGGGGAAAGCGGTTCCCCAGCACAGGACGCGAAGGCCCTGCCCGCCCACCCCCCGCACCCTGGAGAAGCCGCGGGCGCTGCCCCTCCCCTCCCTACCTGTCTCGTCTCGTCGATGCGCAGCGCATGGAAGAATGCACTCGAAGGCCGCCGCTTGTGACACGCCCCGCACCGTCCCCTCGGGCGCCCCGCCGGGCTCGGCGCGGTCGCCGGCCCCGACAGGCCGCTAGCTTGCCTTGGCGGCCATGAGGCGCCGCGGAGAGGCGCTCGCAGAGCCAGGCGAAGAGCAGCCGAGCTGGAAGGCGACGAAAGCGAGCAGGGCGAAAGGCGGCGAACAGCGGTACGATGAAGTAAGTAACATGGTTCGCGCTTGTGCGGCGGACGGCCGCTGCCGTCGCCGCCCCCTGCCGGCGCAACGGGGGGGCGCCGGCCGCGGGCGGCGAGGAGGGAAAGGCCAGCCGGCGGCGGAGGCGCGAGCTGGAGCCGGCTGAGCCCTTCTTCTTCCCTCGGCCGCCTGGAGAATTCATTCACCGCCGTCGCCATAACCCGCTGCCAGGGACTGACAACAACCGGCCATGGCGATGGCGATGGCGGCGGCAACGCCCCTTTCGGCCGCCCCAGGGGGAGGGACGGAGGGAAAGAGGGAGGGAGAGAGGGATGCGGGCGGCCCCGGCCGGGAGTGGGGCGGGGCTTTCCAGCGCTGTGCCCGGAGAGAATCAAGGCTGCTCCAGCCGTGGCCAAGGCCGTTAGATGTCGGCACATGGAAACACACTGAGTGGACGGAGGATGAATAATTTAATAGGATTAATTATTCTGACTGGAGTCGTGAGCCGCCCCGCAGGCACAATGCAGCGCGGATTTCTGGCGTCGCTCCCGCCGGGAGTCATTGCTCGAGGCACACGAGGAGGGCCCGGGGAATTCCCTCGCACGGAGGGACGTGTGGCAGCCAGTCACTGGCGGTGTCCGTGCTTCCGCCGCCTGGAATTGCCCCCGGGAGAGCGTCCTCCCGTGCTTTGTCTGCTCCGCATCTCTGTAATGGAAATGACAGGCTGTCTGCTCACATAGAGGGAGCTAATGTAATTCAGTATACATTATAGATACATCGTCCTGGGAAGAAAAAAAGAAATCTGAACTCTATTACCACCCTCGTTACAAAAAGTGATCACCCAGTTGTCCTTGTTTGTCAATTATTGGCCCAGCTATAATATTTATTTATTTGTGTCTCCACTAATGAGACAGATCCTCCAGCTCTCTACTCTTTCAGTTATTTCAAACCTTAAAAAATGCTTTGGTACCTTTGGTCTAGGAAACAAGGGGAGGCACCCACACAACAGCATTCCCACGTTCTGTGCCTACTGCTATATTCAACAGTGTAGCAAGGCCCTTCCCCTGTGCTTCAGTCTTCCTCCCCTTTTGGTTGCCTTGCCCATTGGTTGATCTTTTTTCCTGTTGTTTTGCTTTGTCACGCACTCTGTTCTACAAACAAAATACTGAGCTCCTGATGTTAATTATGACAGATCATCTCTCTCCTGCACCTCTGAACTGCACACAGTAGCCCAGAGAGTCCCCAAACAGTAGACACATAATTCAGTGCACAAGCAAGTTTCCCCAGTTTATAGCAAGAAATTGCAGTTGGTGCTGTGTGTTAATTGAAAGGACATGCCAAATTGAAATCACTGCTGTCTGCCATGTTTTATTTATTATGATTATTTATGTTTCCAAAATTACTATAAAACTACTGGTTTTTTTCTTGTTTGCTTATGCCTTGTATAGTTACTTCTAGTTCCCTTGGTAATGTGTATTGATTTTCTTAAATGACTGTGTGATCTGTTTTAATGACAGAACTGATTATTTTCTTACTGTATAAAACACAGAATTTTATTAAAATATAAAATAACTATTCATGACCTAGAACCATTACTAGACAGAGATAGTAAACCTATCTCTGTCTAATTTGAAAATGTAGTAATGTACATCAAGTATTTTTCTCCTGTACTTGGTAAGAAGGATGACATACTACTATTATGAAAATATTACTGAAGTATTTTCCAGTCCACTCATGACTGAACAAAGTTCAGTATCTTTTTTTTTTTCAGTATGCTTAACTATCTTTTAAAAAAAAAAAATCTCATTTGCCGATATAAAGGCTTAACAAATTTTGGAATATCAAAGAAATTCCAGAAGCTTCAAGCTGAGTTAATACTAAGTAGCATTCAAAAATGGGAAGTGAAATAAGCCCCATGACAACAGATTACTGACCTACTGTCTTTATTATCTCATTACTATCTAAAGTATCATCCCACTCCTGATCAAAATCAAAAAGCTAGTGAAGAAATAAGTTTATTAACAAGGACAGATTGCATGACAATAGAAGATCATGTACCTCAGTCAATCCTGACTGGTCAATCTATTCAGTTATTTTTACTTTTAAAAAAATTTAGAATGACATCTTTGTAAATCATGTGAATGTATCACGGCAATAAAGGAGCGTACCTGTTAGGGGAATAACATCATGTTAAACCAAAAACATAGCTTCAGAAGCAGACACCAGTCAGGAATTGTGAGAAAACCTAGAGAATCAGTTCACTATTGTGGCTATTAAATATCTGAGCAATCTGCAAGTTGAATCTCCCTACCCTCCAACATTAAACTGGCTCTAGCAGTCTTTGGTCTTGTCTGTGAGATATTCTAATTAATAATCTGGCATAAGATTAATGCTAGTTTGGAAATAAAACCAACAAAACCCAACAAACAAATCTTAAACTGCATCAGTCCATTGGACGGCTTTCTGCTGGCTTAGTGAAATGTTCTGGCTCAGCAAGGGGTGATGGACATCAGCAAGGGGTGGATGAAGAAGTGAAACCTCATTTCCTGGAGTGGACAACTGTTGGATCAGCTCATCCACCTGATTTGACTTTGCTCTGAAGATTGTACCTCCTGTATTACATGAGTCCTCAATCTGGTATCTCAGCTAAAGGTTTTAGAATTAGAGCAGGCAAACACTACAGTCATAGGAATTAGAAAGATGCAACTAACCTGACACCACAACTTACCATTGCACAAAAGGTCAAGGTAGGAAACCTTTTCTCACTCCCAACACGATATCACCACAAAACCTGAATATAATAGAGAATACATAAATGTGGAAACTGGGCTAAGGGTACAAGGATTTTTCAAGTATTCTAAATGCAATTCTCAAAAATGTCATTGCTAGAACCGCATGAAAAATTAGGAGAGAGCCTCAAAACGGACCGAAAAGCTTATACCTCTTCACATTAAGAATTTGTTTGTATTCCTGTTTTAAGTTTTAGAAAAAAAACTCAAATGTTTTCCCCTCTGTGTTTTCACCTCACCTCCTCATCAGCTAAGTTTGCGAGCACTAGGTACTAAAATTGACGCAAAGACAGTATGCAGTTCTGCCATAATTCCAAATATTTCAGTTGAGTATCAAATCTGTGACTGACCACACACAAATTTTTAAGCCTGCTTGTCACACTGGTAACATTGTCAGTTCTGCAAATATGGTTGTTTCAAGTTCACTGATGTACACATACTTAATCATTACCATTATTAGATTATTATATCAGAGCACAATCTAGTGAAAACATGGCATTTACCATTATTTCTCCACGTCGTTCATCTTTTAAGAGCATCAGGTAAGTCACTCATATACATTGTCATTACTGCAGCAAGGAGAGAAAAAAAAACAGACCTATTTTTATAAAACAACAACAAAAATGGTTTTCTCAAAAGAAAAAGAAAAAAGACTACAGGAATATAACTACTTCATCAAGTCAAAAATAAAAAGATTCTTAAGGCCTTTTTAATCCTCTAGCACAAACCATGTTGCCAGACAAAGAGATCACAGTATCACAGAATTGTTAGGGTTTGAAGGGGCTTCTAGAGATCATCTAGTCCAATGTCCCTGCCAAGACAAGGTCATCTAGAGCCGGTGATACGAGAACGCATCCAGGTGGGTTTGTAATGTCTCCAGAGAGAGAGACTCCACGACCTTCCTGGGCAGCCTGTTTCAGAGTTCTGTCACCCTCAATGTAAAGAAGTTGTTCCTCAGATTTAATTCCTAGTAAAAACAAAGAAATCAGGCACAGATGTTCTAGCATCGGTACAGTTTGTTAACAGTGCAACAACTACAGAAGCAACAGATTCCTTCATTTTCCGACAGTTTCCAGTCGGGACAGGATGCTTAAAGCTGATACCTGGACAAAGCCGAGCAGCCGCGTTTTTGTTTAAAGAGAGAAAATTAACGGCCAACAGTCATCGCTGGGAAAACCGCATTCTACACAGCTCTGGAAGGTTATGCCACTAACAAATCCCCACTTTCAGTTCCACATTAACTTTAGCACAGTTATTTTTCGTGACCGCCTCAGGGAGCTCCTCAGACATCAAACCGCGCTGATGATGAGCACGATTCTGTAGCACAAAGCCCCCAAGCACCAGCGTTTCTCAAAGGTTCGGGCAGAGCCACAAACACCCCCCAAGACCCCC